TTAGATAACGATTTCGGAAATGAGATCCGTCATCACTAATGATTGCTCGGGGCGTACCAAAATGACTAAAGATGTGAGACTGAATGAAATGGATCACGACTTTATGATCATCGGTTTTGGTAGCCTCTGCTTCAACCCATTTAGACACATAATCCACCGCTACAAGGATGTACTCATAGCCATAAGAAGATGGAAATGGTCCCATGAAGTCAATCCCCCACACATCAAAAATTTCAACAATTAAAATGTTGGTGAGGGGCATCATGTCTCTACGGGACATGGATCCAAGTTTTTGACATCGTTCACACGATTTTCAAAAATTGTATGCATCCCGAAACAAGGTAGGCCAAAAGAATCCGCTTTGAAGAACTTTGTTAGCGGTCTTTTTGGCACTAAAATGGCCTTCACAAGCAAGAGTATGGCAAAAATTTAGAATGCTGGTGGCCTCAGTTTCAGGGATGCATCGCCGTATGATTTGGTCCGGGCAATACTTGAATAGTTTCGGATCTTCCCAAAAGAAATGCTTGACTTGGGAGAAAAACCGGTCCCTCTCTTGTTTGGACCAATGAGCTGGAATTTTGCCAACCGCAAGATAATTGACAATATCCGCAAACCATGGAAGAGTAGAATGTGAAACTTGAAGAAGTTGCTCATCCGGAAAGGAATCACGGATGGCTGCGAATTTTGAAGATTTCTCAATAAGTAAGTGAGAGAGATGATCGGCGACAACATTGTCGGTCCCTTTTTTGTCCCGAATGTCAATGTCAAACTCTTGAAGTAAGAGGATCCATCGAATTAAACGGGGTTTTGTCTCTTTTTTTGCTAACAAATGCCTAAGAGCGGCATGATCTGAAAAGACGATGACCTTGGAGCCAAGAAGATAAGAGTGAAATTTATCCAAGGCGTACACCACAGCTAGCAATTCTTTTTCAGTGGTGGTGTAGTTCAATTGGGTATCGCAGAGAGTTTTGCTAGCATAATAAATGACATGCGGAAGTTTATCCACACGTTGGCCCAAAACCGCCCCTAATGCATAGTCGGATGCATCACACATGATCTCAAAGGGAAGAGACCAATTAGGGGGTTTCATGATTGGGGCGGAGGAGAGGAGAATGCGAAGTTTGATGAAAGCTTCCATGCAAGCGTCATCAAAATTGAACGGAACATCCTTGGCTAAGAGATTACACAAGGGCCGTGAGATTTTGCTAAAATCTTTGATGAAGCGACGATAGAATCCGGCATGGCCAAGAAAAGAACGGATTTGACGGACGGAATTCGGAGGAGGAAGATTAGAGATTAACTCAACTTTTGCCTTGTCTACCTCGATTCCCCGCTTAGAAATGACATGTCCTAAAACAATGCCTTCTTGGACCATGAAGTGGCTTTTCTCCCAACTTAGAATGAGATTCGTCTCTTTGCATCTTTGGAGCATAAGAGATAAATTTTTGAGACACGAGTCAAAGGAGGAGCCAAATACGGAAAAATCGTCCATGAAAACTTCCAAGAACCTTTCAACCATATCGGAGAATATGGACATCATGCACCTTTGGAACGTTGCCGGTGCATTGCATAGACCAAAAGGCATGCGTCGATAGGCAAAAGTACCAAAGGGACAGGTGAATGTTGTTTTCTCTTGATCTTGGGGGGCGATTGCCACTTGGTTATAGCCGGAATAACCATCAAGAAAACAATAGAAGCTTTGGCCGGCTAACCTTTCTAGGATTTGATCAATAAATGGGAGTGGGAAATGATCCTTCTTAGTTGATGAATTGAGTTTCCGATAGTCAATGCACACACGCCACCCGGTGGTAGTTCGTTGTGGCACGAGCTCACCCGCTGAATTTTCAACAACGGTGAGCCCGGATTTCTTGGGGACAACTTGTGTGGGGCTCACCCACTTGCTATCAGAGATAGGATAGATGATTCCCGCATCTAACAATTTGATCACCTCTTTCATGACCACTTCCTTCATATTTGGATTTAACCGGCGCTGGACCTCTCTAGTAGGCTTTGCGTCATCCTCCATATGAATGCGGTGCATACAAATGGAGGGGTCAATTCCTTTCAAATCTGCCACTGTCCAACCAATAGCTTCTTTATGCTCTTGGAGCACCGCTAAAGGTTGGTCTCTTGGTCGTTTTGAAGATCCGAGGCAATAATGACCGGAAGGGTTTGCTTTGGACCAAGGAACACATACTTGAGATGGGCCGGGAGCGGCTTAAGCTCAAGTTGTGGTGGAGATAACAATGATGGGACCGGAGGGGTGGTGGAAAGTTGGGGAAGTGGTTCTTTTGGGATTTTCAGGGAGGTACATCCATGATAGCATTAATATTAAGCAAGGAATTTACTTCTTGAATGGCTTGATCAACATCAAAGTTTGAGAAGTCAAAATGGGACATGCAAGTTTCAAGAGGATCTTTGCTTAGAATGAAGGGGAGAGATTCTTCGACCACTTCATCGATGACATCCACAAGAAAACAATCATCCTCATTGGAGGGATGTTGAGTTGCATGAAAGATGTGGAGTTTGACTTGCATGTTTCCAAAAGCAATGTCCATCACTCCGGTTCGGCAATTAATTGATGCATTAGCCGTGACTAAAAATGGCCTACCAAGGATCACGGGAATGTGCTTTTTTCGGTCATGGACCGGTTCCGTATCAAGAACCACAAAATCTACCGGGAAGTAGAATTTATCCACTTTGATGATAACGTCCTCGAGAATACCTCGTGGATGCTTGACCGATCTATCGGCAAGTTGCAAAACCACGGAAGTCGGCTTAAGATCTCCCAAACCAAGTTGTAGGTAGACTGAGTATGGAATTAAATTCACACTAGCTCCTAAGTCAAGGAGGGCCCTCTCGATTTTGCTGTCACCAATGATGCAAGAGATTGTGGGGGCACCCGGATCCTTATACTTCGGGGGAGTGCTGTGCTGAATGATAGCACTAACATTTTCAGTCAACCTCACTTTTTTAACTGGTTTGAACTCCGTGTCCACCTTCAGGCTATGTGATCGGTTGATCAACTATACATCAACCTTCGCAATAGCACGAATCATTGTAAAATAGGGCTATTGGTCGGGTAAGTCGAACCACTGGGACTGCGCTAGTCTATGGCAACCTAAGAGTCTAGACTACTTTTAGAATGATGAGGGGGTATATAGAGTTTTGTTGGTTTGTCACTTATACTATGAATTGAAATATGCATTAATGAAAAACTTGCAAGAATTTAAGAGATGAAAGATGAGCAAAGAAGACTAAGGAAGTGAATCCGCCTCCATCCCTATACACATGCTAGATTAGACCTAAATTAGGGAAAAAACAACATATGATGGTCAAAAACTACATAGCAACACATAGTTGCCATGTAAGTAATTAAGAGGTACATTAGGTCTCAAACAAGTATAATCCATCAAAAGGGTAAACATGTTGAGACTACCTAACTAAGGTGTAGCTTATACACGTTTACTTAAATGAAAGACTATCAAATTCTTGACAAAATGATGAAGCACATGGAGCTAGAGATTAAGCATACACCATCAAATGATTTCCTAAGCAATGGTCTATCAAAGTCACCTATCAACATGCCATTAAATCATTTCATAACCTTGTTTCCATTCTCACCATGTAAACTCAAGCAAAAAGATTAATACAAGACATCACCTAACATAAGATAATGAGCTTGAAGAAATCATCCATACTTATATAAACATTCATTACACCAAATGAAGTGCTCTTAGCTATGAAAAAGACCATAAATATACATTGCAATCCCCCAATATAGACTACCCTAGGACATGCTTACAAGGGAGGGACTTCATCACCTCCCTAGAGAAAGAGTTAGTTACCCATTGCTAAGCTAGAAGAAGGTAGAAGCTCCATCTTCATGGCCATTTTCGTGCAACCTTCTTGGAGCTTGAAGAACACACCTCTTTTGCTCTCTTCTCTCTCCTCTAATCTTGTAGTAAATGTAGGATAGCAAATGTGTGGCCTTTGGTAGCTTTTTATTCTCCAACAAAACCCTCTCTCTCCTCCAAGGAACACCTCCAACCACTTCATAAAGAAGGAAGATGGCATTGAGGAAACCAATGTGCAAGTGGCTGAAATTGAGCCATTTCCGAGTGCAATCTACCTGATTTTCGAGCACTCGAAAAGTGGTCTCGAGCACTCTAAATTAGTGCAATGTGCAACATGCTCTTCTTGCTCAACGCTGACCTACTTTGGCAAAACTGCTATAACTTTGTGCCCCGAACTCCGAATGATGATCTGTTTGAAGATTTGGAGAGCTGATTCAGTGCTTTAAAAACTTCATGTTTTGATGAAGACCCAATTCTTAAGTCTGGTTGGTCGAAAATGGGGAGAAAGGCAGTACTTCATTGCTGCCAGGCAGTTCTGCGCACCTCTGTTACGAAGATCATAACTCTCTGCTCCAAACTCCGAATGATGAACCGCTTGAAGATTTGGAAAGCTGATTCAGAGATCTAAATCTTTCATGTTATGATGGAAGTCCAGTTCTTGAGTTTGCTAGGTCGAAAATGGCGACAAAAGTCAGGATCACTGCTGCCAGAAATTCAGAAATGGCATCCTTTTTGTTCAAAATTCCACAAGGCATCATTTTTGCTTCCTTTTTGCACTTTAACCTGAAAATGCATAAAAACATGCAAATGGAGTTAATCTACATAAAATAATCAATAACTGGGCTTTGTTAATGTAATTTAGGGCACTTAAATATACAGTATTCAGCGCTTATCACTATGGCAGGAGATTGAGGGATCGATCCCTACCATGTCTAAGTGATCCCAGGCAAAAGCATCTGCATTACGTTGAATGACATTGATCAATGGTTCTTTCTCCTCGGCTGTGCAGGAAAAGCCTATATAAGTGATTTTCTGAGGGTCACCAAGGATTACTTCTACGGCTCCGAGGGATTCCTCGGTTGGTTCTACAGCTTCTGCTTCTTCCGCTGCCTTTAGATACTTGGGCAGAGGACTCTGTAATTGCTATTTGGTTGTGTCTCTGGGAGTTGCATTTGACTGAGGTGGTTTAGACACCTTATTCGCTTCACCTTGTGTCAGCATATAACATTCTTTCGCTGCAACTTGATTCCCCCATAGATTAATTACCTCCTTACCATCCGGAGATAAGCACTGCATCACTTGGTGAAGGGTGGATGGAACTCCATTCATTCGGTGGATCCAGCCTCTGCCCATGATGAGATTATATGAAGGATGGATTTCTGTTAGGACAAAATTCTCCTTCAGTGTTCGTTTGGCCACTGTGACGGATAAATCTACCACACCCAGGGGGTCCACCTTCGTACCGTCGAATCCCATTAAAGGATTGGAAGTAGGTCGAATTGAAAATGACGGTATCCCCAATTGCTCAAAAACCGTTCTTGTGATAATATTTGCACTACTTCCTAGATCTATCAAGGCCCTTTTGATTACACAATTTGCCACTAAGAGGCTGATGACCAATGGATCTTCATAGGGAAGCTGAACTCTGGACAAGTCACTATTGCTGAACCCTATGCTGATGCTGCCCGAGGCGATAGTATTGACCGAGGTTAGCCTTCTGAGCTTATGGGCTACCCTCAATCTGGATCTGTAAACCTCCTCAGACTCTTGATCATTTTCAGATCTGCCATGTCTCGCATGAATGACTTTTACTTGATTATCCTCCACTTTACAAGGGTTGACCTCTCGGGGCTTCACGTACTCATTCACCGTGAGGTAATTTGCCAACTCACCTCGGGCTATCATGCTCTCCTCTTGGCGCCTAAGGGATCTGCAATCATTGGTCGAATGTGCATAATCTAAATGATAAGCATAATGCTTGCTTTTGTCCCTCTGCTCCAAGGGTTGCTTCATTAGTTGCCGTGTGGTGAAACTCATCTTATTCTCTTAGAAGAGCCGAGCCAAAGTAGTTCAGAGAGGTGTGATTCTTTCCTCTGTCCTTCTCTTCTTCTCAGGTAATTGAACAATTGGGGTTGAGGCGCGCTGGCTTTTCTGAACTTTTGAGTTTGGAATTCTCTCCCGAGGCTTATTCTCTACCGTGACGAGGGTGGCGTGCCGCGTTCGGTGGGCTACATTCTCCTCGAGCCGGATGTAGATCTAGGCTCTAATATTGAGAGTCTGCATGTCCGGAGGAGAATATTTAACTAGGGAAGTATAAAACTTAGTCCCTTGAATCATTGCAAGTTTGAATGTCTCTATGGCAATGGCAGGATGACAATCGGCTATTTCCGAAGCTTCCATATTGAATCTATTCAAAAAATCGTGCAGTGATTCCCCTTTCTTTTGCCTTATGGTAAAGAGGCTAGCCATACTCTTCTTTTACTTCTTATTTCCACAGTATTATGCTAGGAACATGGTGCACAGAGTTTCGTAATCTGGGATAGACCTGTGTGGCCTGTTCTTGAACCATTCTAGTGCTGCTCCTGTTAGACTGGTGGGGAAAACTTTGCATAACCAAGGATCATTGCGGTCGTCCAGAGCCATCTTCTGGGCGTAGTGATCCAGATGACGAAAAGGATCTCCTGTACCATCGAACTGAGTAAAGGAAGGCATGGTAAACTTCCTGGGCCTCTCAACCATATACACATCGTCAGTAAAAAGGAGTCTTTACTAGAGAGTTTTTGTGTTCTCTGGCCATCTCCGCTGGTGTTTCAATATTCAAGAGTCTTTTCTCATCAAAAGCATCCTGTACACCAGCACCATCTGGGATACCATTAGACCACACTGTAAACTTACGGCTAGACTCGGTCTGTTCATCCTGCATGCGACGAAGGAAGTTATCCGAAGCAATTGCCTCAGTCCTTGTCCTCTGCTGCTGCTGACCCTCGTTAGGCCGAGCTTCATTGAGTCGTACCCCATTGAGTTGAGGCTCGTTAACTGGAGGAAGAATGTTCTGGTTAAGGGGCGATGCTGCCGTATCACCCGGTGGTGGCTATGGTATCAACTGAGCCATCGCCGTTTGAAGAGTGTTATTCTGTTGTTAAAGTAAGGCGATCTGGGTCACGCTAGCTTCGTTCGCCTGACGAAGTACTTCAAACTGGTGCAGAAATTCTTCCCGCATCTTTTGCATCAACTCTGTCTGTTGATCCGCTGAAGATCCTCCATTTGACATTTTAGATGGTGGTAACATAATTTACTTGAAACAAACGTGGGAGTATCTTTGAATATAGTTCCCACAGACGACACCAAAGTGTAGGTGCAAAATTCTGCTCAACCAATAATGATTGAGAATAATTAAACAACACACTCAAAAAACAGTAAGAATAAATAAGAACAATAGATATAGAAGCATAGAATTGTTTGATCTCTTTATTAGAGGTCCAGGCCTTAATTTATATACAAAGATTGGTAGAATTATGGTAGGACTCGCATTGCTTGTCCTCCAATTATTACCATCTTTGATATTCTTTACAAATAAAGTTCTTTCTATTGTATATAATTTTCCATACACAGAACTTGCCTTGTATGGAAAATTCTATCATATAATCTTCCTTCTACAACAACTTCCTTCTTTGTTGTATCATTTATCTACCAGAACTGATCTTCTTTTAATGAATTTGGGCCGTACATGACCTGATCCACGCGACTTTGCTAATGGGCTAGATCTCTTAATTCGGACTTGAACGATACTAGAAATCAGTTCGCTGTGATCTTGGGCTAGCGAATATGACTTTGGGCTAGCAACGAGCTTGGACTGGGCTCTAGGCAGGATGGGCCTCTGACATTTGTGATGGATATTTATATTGTGATGACGTGTATCATTCTCATTGGAGGGAGATTTTTCCCTCCATAGGGTAAAACGGCCATTTTCAAAATACAACCTTCATTTTATAGATAAAATGAACCGGAACAGTGTCCCCTGGTTTATTTTGCAAAAATTAGAATAGTTTTGAGGGTTTTCTTTAAAAATAAAAGTTCAAGAGGGTTCTTTGAGAAACATTTACTCGGAGTCACATTGTCATTTTGTTAAACTTTATGTCTGAAATATCTATTAAAACCTTAAATTTATAAGTAGTAAAGCTAAATAAGGTGGCTAGGTGGCTTAACATCTACATTACTGTAATCTCCTCTTGGAGTGGAAGGTTGAAATTGTTTATGGGTAATGATATAGGGGCCGAAGGTATTTGGCCAAACAAGGGACGAATTTGATGTGGCAAGGCCATCTCATATGATTAAATCTAAGTGAAACAATAAAAAGACTAATGTACCCTAAATGTTTAGCATAATTTTCATTTAATAGCCTTTCAGATCTGAAATAGAACATTCAAGAACTCCTTAGCCTATGAAAGTCATCTCTCTAGCTCCGTCTCAAAACTCTCTGGACTTCTCAATCTCTTTCTTCTCTGTTCTCCCCGTCAACGTTTATCTATTTGGCATACCTCGCTTTAAAAACCTTTAAATTTGTTCCATCCTCATGACTCCACTAGGGCCGGCCATCATCTTGCACATCAAAACCTGTTCAAATAACCTATTCTTTTCTATGGTCTTCTTCCTTTCAAAGGCGACCCAGCTCAATAACAATCCACCATTGCATAAATCAAAAGACCAAATTTCCTTCACAAAAACCTAAATAAACCTTGAAGAGGAGGGATTTGCTGTCATGCACCATAGCCAATTAGTAATCAAAAGGGAAGCAATGCAAAATTGGTCGGCTAAAAATGGATAAGCTATGCAACGTCAGAATCATCCAAATTCAATAATGCTAAACAATGTAATTTGGGTATATATATATATATATCTTTGAACACCCATAATCATATAGATTTTATATTTTTATATACTTTTACACCTACTTTTTTTTGGTTCGCCATGGTTCTACGATTGTCAAATAAGGGATTATTTCTATATATCTGGTGTTATACAAAAGAATACTCTATAACGCAGCGTACTCACTCCTGTGGGACTCCTAGTTTTTCACGCAAGGTCAGATTTAAGAATCTGATGTGGCCTTGTTCGGCCAAAACCTTCGGCCCCTGTATCATTACCGATTGTTTATTAGATGGAACTTGATAGAGAGTCTTTATAAGGGTAGTTTTTTTAATTGTATTACGAATCGATAAGCATTAAATAATGAATATGTAAATAATAATAATAATAATTGATTCTGGGTTTGATAAGAAGTCTAAACAACACAAGTCACCGAGTTAGGAGTTGGTTGGATTACGACTTTTAATGGATGATGATAAGTGATAGTTTGCTTATCCTTGTTGAAAGGTAAAAGGGAATTGATTTCCTTCTTAAATGCAACTATTATCTCTGCTAAGATGTACGCACAAACAAACCCGAGAAACGATCCCTTGATTACCAATCAAGTCTCTAACTTGGGAGCCCTTCCGGCTAGTACACATTGAAGACTTGCTTATAAAAGTGATTTTTATCATTTTGGTTAAAATTCTTGTAATTCTGAAATATTTAGACACAATCTTTAAATTTTAAGGCTTAAACTTATTCATTTATTAATATATATATTACATATATTTTTGAGTTCAAAATAAGTAGATTGTCGTGTTTGTTCACGAACATGTTTTTGAACTAACAAGCCCAAAATTGTTTTGAGTTTTCTATCTTAATGAAGCATGAAAATTATATTTTAACTAAGGCTCATTTATTAAACATGCAAACATGAATGGAACTCATGACATGCCGAACCTGAACTGTAATTACTAATATTGTTTTTTCATCGGATTTACTCCAAGTCAGGTTATTTTGTTAAATTTTATGTGTGAAATATCTATTAAAACCTTAAATTTATAAATAGTAAAGTTGAATATGAAGGCTCCGTGGCTTAACATATCTATTTGGCAGTCTTAGAAGGGTAGTTTTTTAATTGTATTGCGAGTCTATCTAATAAGCATTAAATAATGAATTATGTAAATAATAATAAAAATTAATGAATCAACTTTTTAATCATGGTAACAAATTTTATGTTGGTAAAAACAAAATTGACTTGATTTTGATCATTTTGGTGTTAAAACTCTTATAATTTTGAATTTTTTATTATTGGCGATTAGTAAGCAAATAAGTAACCAATTAACTTTTTTTTCCTTTTTCTTTTTTCATGACCTAATCAACCCATCTCACTTTTTTAAAGTTGAGGAGGTTTTACCATTGTCTGGAGAGAGTCGTAATATGATATGAGGTATACTTGATCTCACGAAGAATTTAAAATTGGTAACCCAGTAAATTAGTGTTTTTGGTAATTTTAAAGTGTCAAACTTCGACTCTCTCGTCTACTAATATAACTTTTAACTCTTATTGTCTTATATATATGTATTGAACTCTTTTCACTTTTTATACGGAATCAACATTTGATTCCGTATAAAAAGTGAAAAGAGTTCAATACTAGTTGTATAAATTTTAGTTCCTTCCAACTCCCTTTTTAATATCCAAAGTCTTCTCTCTTTTGGTGCGTGCCGTGCTAGGGTTTTCAGGGAGGAGCGAATTAGAAGAATTGAAAGACGGTTGTCAAAGTTTGTTACTGTATCGTGCTAGGGTTTTCAGGAGGAGCAAATCAGAAGGATTGATATCGTTGTCAAAGTTTGTTTCTTCTTCATTCTTCCCCATGTCTAATGTTTTTTTTCCTATGAATGGTTGACTTAAAATTGGTTTTAGAAATTTGCATTCTGCTGCTTTTTTTTTTTTGATAAAAGACTCTTATTATTTATTTATAAAAATATTTATTTCAGATTGCCACAAAGATGTCGCGGCTCAGTAATTTGAGTACTAATTCTCTATCCACCTTACATTCCTAGTCTTGATTGTGTTTCAATTTTCACTAATTCTATGTTTTTTTCGTTTTCGTAAACCAGTTTTACTTTAGGCGCATTTCTACTTTCTAAGGCGTATGTTTCATTCTTTTTTTCTTTCTTTTTTCAATTGATTAGTAAACAACTTGAATTAATACTTGTACTCATACAATGTCGAAGAATTATTTTTAAACAATGGTAATATTTCATTATATGTCTCTTATATCTTAATTTTTGTTTTGATTACAGGATATTTAAATTGGAGGATTGGCTCGATAAAGGGTATGTCTTATTCCCCCTTGAAACTTGAATCTACTTTGTGTAATTTTTTTTTTTTCTTTCACTATCTATTGGTCTGGCTTCGTATTGTATATGAAACAATTACGGTTGTTTATGGACGTTCACATATCACTACATGACCATAGAGTTGGGAGATTATTTATTCGTGTTTCCTTTGTGAGGGAATTTCCTAATCCACCTATCACTCCCATGAATTTCATACCTTATAGGGTAAAAGAAAGTAATTTAGGATTTGCTCTAGGGAGCTATAGTTTCTTTCTTAGATAATTTTTTTTTGTTGCATTATTATTATTATTTAAATATATATCCCTACCAAAAACTAATTTCTCTGTTTTTTTTTTCTCTGTTTTTTTTTTCTTTTATATTAACATTTTTTTTAATTCATTATGTTTTTTCCATTTTGATGAAATTAAAATAAAAGAGTATTTTGTATTACAAATTATGTCTTGGTTGCTATTAATATTCATTGTTGATGTAATTTTTTTTATATTTTCATTTCAGAAAGGTAGAAACATCGGTGAGAAAGGTGGATATATCGGTGGGCACACGCACACGCACGTATACATATACGGCTGACTGAGCTATATGGGAGATCGTACGTCAAGTAGATGCTGCAAAGGCACAATATGAAGATGAGATCAAGAATAAAAAGAAATTTAGATTGTAAAGGACCCTTTAGGATTGCTTTTCAATCTCTTAAAAGTGGTTTTATTTTTAAAATTTGCATTTGGATGTATTTAGTAAACATAAGAAACACTTTAATAAGTGCGTTCTAACTTTTAAGAAGAGAATATATTTTAGAATATATATATATATATATATATATATATATATATATATTAATCAAAAACACTTGGCATTCTATTAAGCACTTTATGCATCTTAGGGGAGTTTTTTAGGCCTTCTCATAAGCTATGTGAATAGACATTGGATGCGCTAGGTATACGAGCCTTACATGCACAACACGCATCTGTGCTTGCACAACACGTATTACTCGAATGAGCCCAGTGCACGGTGTGTCTAGCTCACCTAATACCTTCTCGACAAATTTACGTACGGATCGAATCAGATTCACAAATTCACATATTATTTGCTCACCCCTAACTTTAATGGCAGTTCTATTTTGTCATTTAGCATTTGAGAGCTAAGTACAAACCTGCCCTTACTTTTCATTAGAAACTCAAAATTTGATTCTTGAATTGCATTCGTAAGTGGAAACGAAAATTTATAAATGAACATGTATTTATAAAAGGGTTTAAGATTATTTGATAACAGTCATTACACTCCTAATAATCCCACGTTCGCTCTCTGTATGGTTGAAAGCTACCCTTTAAATAGTGGTTTTACTATTTTTCTAAATCAGAGAATTTGGATGGAAAAAATAAGAGAGTTAATAATTGTCTATTTTGTCCATGTTTTTTAAACAAGTAAATTCATATTTTGCACTTAATACCCAAAAATAAAAAATAAATAAAAAATTATCTCATTTGTTTTCCCTCCTGCCAATCTTCTCCTTGGATATATGTCAAACACATGTCCATAAATAGAAATTAATTTTATTATTTTAGACACTTCGCCACAACATTTATAACACAAATCTACCAAATAATCTTGAAAATAATATGACATTTCTAACACAAGTTTACCCAATAATCTTAAAAATAATATAAATACTTTCATGACAAAATAATAAAATAATGGTATATATGATATACAAATCATTACAATAATGACACAATTTCATTTTCTAATTCATGTAAGGGAGGGAGCCAATGAAGGCCTGGGGACACTGCCCCCAAGTTGGCTCAGTAAAAATCACTTTCTTTAATAAATGGTGGCAACCTATAATGTATGGATATGCTGCTGTAGAAAAAGTTTGAATGGTAAAAGTTTATCCTATATTTCTCCCTGTTTTGAAATAGTGCCATTTCAGTGTCAAATATTATCGTGTTTCAGTGCTTAATATAAATATAGTAATGAGGCTCTGTATAGTCAATGTTGTGTACCAAAACGACACCTTTTCAACGCGAGACAATTCGGATTGGCATCAATTAAATAAAAGATTAATTACTTGTACTTTGAACCATTGAAGTCATTACTCAAATAAATAATAACCCTTTAAATAGTGGTTTTCTGTGTAAATAATTCGATAACTCAGTAAATTTGTACCTCGGAATGACAGGATCTTTGATTCATAACTGATGTGATCATTTATTTTCTTTTGGGTCCTAGTTATTCAAAGGTATCCTAAAGAGTAAAGGGTGCATTTTCTTTTGTCTTTTGCACAAGCTGTTTCAGAAAAGCGCTTTCTTGTCAGACGCAACAAACACATCCGAAGACGTCTTATGCATCTTAGAAGAGCTTTTTAATTGCACTCAGAATTCTTTATGAAAAAAGAACTAAAAACTTCAAAGGTTACAACACTGATACAAGAAAGAGAGTAAAATACCTTGACTATGAAAAAATTATGCAACAAGATTACTTCTTTTATAGCCCTCTCTAAGTCACAAGGAGCAGGAGCAAATGTAAAAGCCGGAATGCAAAAGTGACAAAATCTAAGTCACACATAGTGGGATCGGAAACAACAGTGTGTGCGGAGCGCAAAAGCAGAAGCGCGCGAAGCATGTGAAGGTCACCTATTTAGAAGTATTATTTAACTTAGGTACTTCTATTTTACCATTTAGCATTTGTTACCTTCGATGGTTTCAAATGAGATTTGAAGGAAAGCTATCCCAAGGCAACATCCCTCAGAGGCCTTGGGTACATTAAAATGGTTTTTAAATGTTGCTTTAGAGAAGAAACCTGCAGAAAAGGAATACCAAAAACCACAAAAAAAGCTTTCAATGTAGAAAAGAAAGCAACAAGAGAAAGAAAAGAATACATTCCTTCACTCTGTCGTCATTTAAGATCGAAAAGCAGGCCTTGCATGCAAGCAAATTCCACCTTGCTTGCCTCCAGTCCCCAACTAACAGTAACAGCCTATCATCAACCTCGACAAACCTTCCTATCTTCCTACCCTTCTCTGCTTCAAATAAGGAACAAACTATGATCACCATATCGTTCCTTCGAAGAAGAGGTTTCAGAACAGGCGCTGTCCCGGAGAATGGAGAGTCTGATTAAGAAACAGAGGTAATTCCAGTTTTTGAACACTTTTGATGGGGAATGGAAATTAGATTAGGTATGCAGGTTCATAACGTTATGAATGCACTGAGACACAAGCTCAAGTTCATGCAAACACAAACACACACATAAAAGTTGGAAAATAGCAAGTCATACATAATTCAGCTTCACACAAGACATTTAGGGGCTTTTACTACCATTTCATTCAACTATTGATATTGAAGATCTCTAAGTTAAGAGTGTTTGGCAACAAATTTCTGAATTTTTATTGGCTTGTTAAGCCAAGCACAGCATGTTGATCTCAGCCATCTAAACCTAGCTAAAACATGCACTAATTTTATTTTAGCATAACTTAATAGCTTCATGTGCATATTAATTTTCTTTCAATGACTACTGACTTCTTTTGTTAGGGTGAGATTTTCTGGTGTAGGACAGCAAAACAAAGAAGGGACTGACAACATCAAAGATCTAAGGATACCACCACCCCAAGAAACTGAATCCTTAAAGAAAGGTACACCTGAAATTTTCACTTTCATTAAATTTTCACTTCTCAACAAAAGCAGAAAACTATAAGAAAATCTGCTGTTTATCTACAATCAAGTCCTAAATCGTTCATAGAGATCATATTAAACACTTAGTAACCTATAGTTCACTAAAAGTTCACTTCTGAGGTATAAAACAATACCCTTAATCAACAATTTTCATTACAATTACTCCTTTATAGCATAAGGGTGATGTATATATAGAGAGAGCAATAAATCAAACCTTGACAATGGAATTTGCAGAGAGGAAAAACAACCAGAACTGGTTTTGGAGACAGTCTTCTGGGCAAATGAATGAGGATGATTCCAGCAATGGTGGTGAATACCCAACTGCAGTTGCAGCAGCAGCATTTGCCATTTATTCACTTGAAGAATCAAGTGTCCCAGAAAGGAAAGAGAAGAGTGAGGACCCTGCAACCTCTTTGACCAAGATCAAGAGCAAAACACAAGATAGTGTGTCCGAACAATTATCAGGTAAGGATGCCGGGTAAAAGAAGCAATAATCGAGATCATTCTAACAATTTTCTTGCATATATATTGAAATTGGACTACATCAGGTAAAACTTCCATTACAAATGTGGAAGTTCCGTATAAGGTGCCAATAACAGCGGCGGCCAAAAGTGAAAAGATGCCTGAAAAGGCTCTTAGTCATGCCCCACCCATCAAAAAGACACCAACTTTCGCGGACAAACACTTGAACAGCACTGCCAGTACAAAGCCCGAAAGTGCAGTGCCAAAACCTGATCTTCCATCCACCAAACAGTCTGCATCCCCACCAACTGAAATCAGAAGGCAGACTTCAACAAAACCTGCTGGAATAGGAGAAACTGAGGCAGATGCTTGGGAGACAGCTGAGATGGCCAAGATCAAAGAAAGGTAATTATTCATTTCAAGAGAGATATTTAGTATCAGTCAACTCAAAACAAAAGGAAAAAAGAAACTATTATCCAACTACTTGCAATCTCCTATATGTATCCTTCTCTCCACTTTTATCCAATGCAATGCTTTCTGTTACAAATAGCACAAGCATAAATGAAAGCTCAAAAAGTACTCAGAATCACTAAAAGAACAACTTAATACATTATTTAGAAGCTTTTACCAAGTGGCTAGAGACTGGACAAATTCAGGACCAACATATAAGCCTGTTAAATTCAAATACTTGGTTCAAATTTCATATTACAACAAATCAAAAAGGTATGTTGTTTTTACTCTAACGAGAGAATCTTCAGGTACGACAAGTCAAACACTAAAATTCACAACTGGCAGGATAAGAAGAAGGTCAAAGCCAATCGCGAAAAGGATAAAAGAGAGGTCTTGTCTCATTCTTTTTTTTATCCTTAATCTAATAGTCATCATTGATGCTAAATTTAGAGCTGACAACACAATCATTTAAAGTGCAGAGCAAATTGGAGCACAGAAGAGCAAAAGACTTGCAACATTACCATGATGAGATGGCAAGAATTGACCGGTATGCAGGAAAAGCAAGTGCTCAGGCAGAAGCAAATCGAAGAAATGAGGAAAATAAGGTGAAAGAGAAGGCAAATAAAATCAGATCAACAGGGAAAGTTCCAGCAACATGTTTCTGCTTCTGACTCTCACTAACAAAGAGGCCCCCCTGGTCAAACAACAAATTGTAAATAACACACATACATGTGTATATATTTTTCTAACTAATGCTGTAGTAAACTCAACAGGTGAAACCAGGTTGCATGAGCCGGCTTTCTATGTAAAGATGAATTAATAAATGAGCTTTATGCTATTCTTGTGATAACTAATATGACTAATTCCTTCAATGATGGTAGCAAATGGTGACTAATAGCACACAACCCTTTTACTCTTAGTGCCTCTTATGTTGTAGAGAGACCTGGAAAAATATAATGAAAATGACAACTACTCTAGGCATTTAAACTGACAGTATAAGACACGTTGGAAGAAAGCTGAATCAACATGCATTGTAGGACTGGTTCATTTGAGTTTGTTTAAGATCCACAACGAAGGAAATTTTAAACAATGATTGGAAGTTGTACAATAAAATGAAAATCTAAATCGGGACAATACCTTACTAAAACGAAGGTCATATGGCATTGAGGGAAAAACAAGAATAGCTGAAATTTTTTCTAGTAATGCTAGCTCCGTAGCTCAACATCAAACGGAGCATTACTAACACAAAGGTCACATGCATCTGTCCAAAATTTCAGGATAAAATTCTTCCAAAAGCTTCTGCAACTGCTGAAATGACAACATTAAGTACCAGGGAAAATATATATATATATATATATATACTGCTGAGAAGATGACAATTTTACATACAATTAGGATCATTATGATCTAAGGCGGACAGGAAACCATGCTTGGAATGGAGAAAAAGTATCATCATCAGAATCACTTGTCTTTTGTATTTTTAACAAGAAAAGTTCGGTACTAAAGTCAAGTCACTGTAATGCTTAATCAAGCCTCAGAAACTCTTGAAACGTCTATTCCCATCACAGAAGCCACATAAAAACTAAAAAAGCTTCTCAACATCAAACAGTTGAATTTAAGAGAAATGGAATCACTACTGAGAGGCACTAGTGTTAGCAATGAAAACTAAAGTAATCAAAAGTACACCACTACCAAGATTTAAGCAAAGATTGAAATCATCTTAAAGCCACAATCTCTCTTGCCAATTAGAAGAGGAACCAACGATCTCTTAAGAGGTGATTTCTTTTATTAGCCAAACCAAACTAGGATAACCAAAGTACAATACCAGGAAAGATGGGATCACAAAAAGAACAGTGATTAGCAAATACAATGCCAAAATGGCAGCACTGGCAGGTATCGCAAAAAAAACAATCAGAAGAAGTATGATCACCAGTGGCAACTTTGCCGTAAAATGAAAAAAGAAATCCAGGGATTTATGAAGGGAAAGATGGGGTCTCTCCACATTAAGACAACTATTGGTGTGTCTATCATCATTACTGTTAGATCCTGAATGTCCTAGACGATGAGTACATGATGGCCTCCTGAGGCTAATGTTTCTGGCTTGATTTCCAAGCATTGGAAGGCTTCTTGGAGACCAAATTGGTTGATGGTCCCCACAAATTGAGGAAGTAGACTTCACCCTGTCACCATTCAAGCTCTCAACCATCCAGAGAATGAAGAAATTCTTGCAAGGAAATTTGAGATTTCCCTTGTAAACCAGCCGCAACGTCAACGAGTTGCACCATGGACAGGAAATGAAGAGCGGGATCTTGATTTGTTGATTGTAGAATTTCAAGACAGTCCACTTAAGCCCTAGAACACAATTCTTGCAGATGGTGTGGCCACACCATAAGACATAGGGCACATTCTCAACAATATTAAAGGATTCCCAGCATATTGGGCATTCCAGTCCTTCCTCTGTGCTGGCATTGGAACCGGTCTCATCATCTGAGTAGTCTGAACAAGCTCGAGTTGGATCAACAGAATTCTTCTTTGGTCCAAAGACAGCAACGGCATTAGAAATTGAACTCCACATGGTAAAAAGGGAATAAGTATGATAATCAACAGGGAGTAACAGCTCTAGTTCTGTGTCTGATCCATAAAATGAGAAATTACTAGTAATTCTTATCAAAACACCATAATTTCACTTGGCCATGAATGTCTACTTTTGGCTTTAATCGTCGTCCTCAAATCAAACCTGCAAAATGGTAAAGAGTGAGAAAGTCATCTAATTCAGTTGATATAGACAGAATGTGAGAGAACTTGGGGCTGAGCTTGGACTGTAGGCTAGATGATCTTCTACTAATTTGTAAGACTCTGCTAATAATAGCAAAATTTCCAGTATATGACATAACTTGCTTTCCCTATCTATGTATTACACATGATACAATAATTGCCAAAATGTAATGGAAGTCAACTAACCAAATCCTGTAACTACAACACAAGAAATAATTCCCTTTCAACTTATAATTGCTTTTGTGCCCTGGCAAACCCAAAGAGAAGAAAAAGAAAAAAGAAAAGCAATGCCATCAACCTGTTTTTTATTAACAATCCATCTGTAAAACCAAAAATTTCAATCATAGAGAAAATCCAAATTCCATCCAACATTCTGGGGTGACTGTTACTGAAATTTCACCAGAAGTTATCTTCACACTAGATTATATCTTCCGGGTTTGTAATTCACCCTAAAGCTAGACTGTGCACTTTACAGTATGCACATTATCGTAATGCAGGGGCTAACTAGGAAAAGAGGAACACTCAGGAAACTATAAGCCATTGAAAAGAATATAACTAAATGCATTGTGATTAAGTGACTAAATAGTAAATAGAGTGCTGATAAGGAAGTTCCAACTTATATACCATAGCTCTCTAAAAATTATTATACTTATATACTGTGACCAAAATTAAATCCAAAGCATTGTCTCAAACTTTGTCTTGGTACAGATAACACAGAACCCTAGAAGAAAGTGTTTTAATCCCTGCTGCTTTCAGACAGACTTACGTATAATTAAACATAACTGTCGTCTACTCTATACTACAAACATATAAACTAAGCCAAAATTTAGTTGCCATAACACCATACAATAGCAGTAGTCAAGCCCGTAGGTCGACAAATAGTTAGAACACAAAAAAATGATGGTTCAAGGTAATGTTTATTTAGGCATGCCGATTAAAAGTATTGAGCATATCAAGATTTAAAACTCAGAAAGCTTTTTTTTTTTTTTTTCAATTATTAATTTAATTTTTTTCTTATAAATGTGTGGAAAACAAGCAACTTTAATTAACCTGTTTTTCTATGAATGCACAAACACAACTCAACAAACATGACTGCAACAGAAAAATCGACAATTTTGGTTTCTCTTCTTGATAAACAAAATTATGAAATGCCGCCAACAAAATACCATGATTTAATATATCCTCAATTTCAGACCTTGCTCTAACCGAAAAAAAATTCAAACCTAGGTTCCTACATGGGTCCATTATAGTTGCAGATTGCCTTATCCCTTCTCATTGCCAAACTATAAATAACTACACAGACATGAAAATAAGAAATTATTTATCAAAAAATCAGAAACAAATGAGCAATAAAGCAATTACGATCCCAATTAAGCAAAATCTAGAAAAATTAAACCAGTTAATACCGATTCATACACCGATGAAGAGAAGATCGGCTCATAATCGAAGAGAAGACAAAACTGAAAAGCCAATCTTACCATTTGTGAATATTAACACCACAATACATGTCTCATTACCCACCAATATATATGTGTATATATACATATATATACAAACACAAATAGAAAGGGATACATATATACACACACATACACATGAAAATAAAAGTTTGATTCTCTGTCGAAAAATCAGGGATATAATAACAAAATCATGTCAGTTAAGTAGCTGCGTAGAAATATGAGGCCAGTTAAGAATTCATAGAGGAAATACATACACATACATACATATATAGATTCAAGCAAATATTATGAGAAAATTCACAAATAATTGAAATAGAAAACTGAGAGACAATCTTACCAATTACGATAATCGACGATGATTAGAGATAGAGAAATCAAAGGAGGAAAAGTAATATTCCTCCCCCCCTCCTCTCTCTCTCTCTCTCTAACTTTCTCTCTCCTCTGGCTCTCCGGCGAACCAAACGCGAGCTCTTTCTAACAGGCGACAAGCTAGGAAAAGTGAAACGGCGTAGCTTGGTGGGTATCTTTTTACCGAGATGGCGTGATTTAGCTGTTACTACTATCTTTCACCAATACGGCGTAGTATTATTCTGCAATTGACCAACCAAATGGTCCATATCAAGTTTGGTTGCTAAACAATACAAGACTAAGCTAAATTTAGGCAGTTGAGTGTTTTAATATTTTATTTTTTTACATTCTTGTAAATGTAACCGAATATGAATTTTTATTGATCAACCCTTCAAATATATTTTATATATATAATATATATATATGACTATGGATCATTTAACCCCTCCCAAAAAAAAAAAAAAACTCTGAATACAGCACCAAACCTTCATCCAAATGCATTTTCGAGTAAAATTTGGTCATCTTGAAATAATTTGATGGGCATCTTTCATTATTTTATATAATGGTGAATTTTGATCTAAAAATAGAGAATTTAAAATTAATTTTGTAAAGTAGTTACTTCATATAAAATAAAGTCAAGATATAATATTTCAAGCCTTTCTAACTCGAATTATATATATTTATATTAAAATTAGGTGTAATTGAAGTTCTCATCCAAAATCTCTTTGGAGTAAAATGTTGGGGCTATGTGAAAATAAAAGAAAGAAAGAAAACAACATTTCAAATCACAACACAAGATATACACGTGGTTCACCCAAAATCAGGGTTACATCCACGGATAAAAAGAGATTCACTATATATGTAGAAATATTACAATAGTAGAGAATTTTAACACCAAACCATGCACACGAACTCGGTATTCACTCTACCAAATCCGTAACTCACCCCTACTATCAACGTACTCTCTCATGAGACTATATCTCTTTCAACTCATAACTCTCAACAATAACCTAAGTGTCTATTGATAGTCACATTACATACCCAATTCCTTTGTTAATAAGGATTACAATTTCTTAAAACCCAATTCAAGTCTCTATAAGAAAATATATACTAAAATAGAAACTAATAATAATGAGAATTTGAGACATAATTTCTAAAATAAAACTGGTTTGGTAATAGGCTTTATTTGAGGAACAATAATAATAAATAGTTCAAAAGTGGAATTCATTGTTTTGTTTTGTGTGAGTAGAGATGACATTGTCATAATGTCATTAAATATGATGATGTTTACCATGATGTTGTTCCCTATTGACATTAATTTAGTTGGATGTGTCCCATGGTTGAGCTTCGTATCATTATTTTTTGACGAATTAAGATGCATGCCCGTGTGAAGGTGATCTTGTACTCAAACGCCAAGTATCATTACTTTATGACGAATTGAGATGCATGCCCGTGTGAAGGTGATTCAAAGCCAAGTATCATTACTTTATGACGAATTGAGATGCATGCCCGTGTGAAGGTGATCTTGTATTCAAACGCCAAGTATGTGCTTTGATGCATAGACATTAGGCTTGATGGCATCATATTAATTATGTGCAGTTTGTGTTATGCATCAAAATGATATCGTTTTAGTGCACAAAGAAATTCCGATTATTTTTGACACAAAGGAATTTGAAATTTGTAACCCTAAGTATTCATTCTACAATGAGTTCTATTACTGCGGCACAATTAAATAAAAGATCAATTACTTGTTCTCTGAACCATATATGAATAAAAATTATTACTCATAGAATTGAAATCACCAGACATCCCGCTTAAGGTAGATAAGTCATATCCATTGGCCAATAACAGTTTCATCAGGTTGTTATTATGGACCTGCCCACAGTGGATATACTCCAAGAAATGACAACATTTGTTTGACAGAGTCAATAGAATGACCACATTATGACAGTAGTTCTAATTCCAACACTATATAAGGGGAAGCAAACCCTTGCATTGAAGACACACAGCATTCTCTTGTTTGAATGTTATTTGAGAGGGGGGCAGGATACTCTACAGCACAAGTGCAGTACAGCATTTGAGGGTAGATCCATAATCCTTGTATGGATTACGGACCTTCAGATGCAGTACTGCACTTGTACTGTACTGCACGCCTAATTCATTTATATTTTAAAAGTTCTTTATGCACGTGTGAGAATTATAAACCGTCAAATACAGTACTGCACTTGTGCTAAACCATACGCCTAATTCACTCACGTTTGAGAGAGTTGGTTCATATAACAAGGGCACACCCCAAAGGAGTGACACTGAGAACACAGGTGGCTTGGCCACTTTGAAAGTGGGCTCATGCACTCTGTGTTCTCAGGTCACCCCTTTGGGGCACCCTTGTTCACATTGCAACTGGTCTCAGGTTCTCTCTGTTCAATTCAATTCTTATCATCTATGTGTGTGTATGTGTGTGTGTAATTGTCTATAATATTACATCTTTCAGGATGTGCTTATGTGTACTAATATCCACTCATTTGTTTGCAGCAAAAGCAGTTCAATCTCATGAACTTGTCAGAAAGTTACCACCAAATTCTACTCTCTTTTTATCCCCTTGGGACAAATAAGTCTTATAGATTTCCTTTGGACCTAAATCTTGCTAAATGGATAAAACTTTCTAATTATATATTTATTTAAAATTTTGATGTATAATCTATTTTTTTTAGCTATTAGTTCATTAATAATATATTGTATTATGAGTTTAATAATACTTAAATTAATTTGAAATTCAATACAAAATATCTTGTCTAGAATTTGGACGACTTTAATACACAAAAAAATAAATATCCTATAAAGAAAAGTCAATAAAATGTTATCTTTTTAATTAAATTTCATATCTAAATTTTTAAGAATATAAATTAAAATTTGAGCTTAAAATTTTCAATTAATTTAGCAGTAGCATAAATGAAAATTTTAGTGATCTAAAATTTAAATGGAAAAAAAAAAAAATCTAAAGTAGATCTTATTTGTCCTAAAAATAAAAAATAAAAAAATTACATTTACTGGAAAAAGTAAAATTTGGTGGTAATTTTTCCAAATAAATATCAAGGGTTTCTTGGAGATTAATACCAACCGCCAGTTCTTCCCTCTCCGTTATCCTCCATTATAAGTGCCAAGCAGAGTATACTCACTCTCTTTCTCACACAGTCACACACACACAGAGAGAAAGAGGAGAGAGAGAGAGAGCCAAGAAACATGATTGCCTCTTCATTATCTCCTAAACCATCTTCTACCATTACAATCCGTGACAAATTCAGAGACCCTCAAATGAAGCTCATCCAACAAATTGGGTTCAATCTGAAACCACAACGTGTTGGCTCTTTTCCCACAAGTCTGTCTCTGTGTTCTTCTTCAGCAACAGATGTTGATAACCGAGTTTTGTTTCAGAAATCTGTTGTTCCATTGGCAGCTTCCATTGCAATTCTTCTCTGGTCCAATCCAGGTACACCCTCTTAGTTAATTCCAACTTCCATTCATTTGTTTTTGTGGGTTCTATTGGAAGCACTTTGTTTGGTTGCCGAGAAAGGGTAGGAAAATCATAGAAAGTTGAGTTTTTTGAGTCTTGTAAATTCCATATATTGGGACTCAAGAAAGAAAATAGCTCTACTCAACTGCGATGCTTAATTCTTTGACTTAAAAGAGAAGGAAACCCAATTGATGTAGAACTCAAGATTCAGATTTGACTACATTTTTTTTCTTCCTTTTACTTAATTTTCCCAGCCCCCAAACAGAGGGCCATGTTATTGCCTTGGTCATTTGGTTGCTTCCACTGTTCCATATAAAATTTAAAGGAAACCCCAATTGATGTAGAACTAAAGATTCAGAATTTACCGTCTTTTTTTTTTTTACTTAATTTTCTCAGCTGCCAAACGGAATTAAGGTCATGTTATTCCCTTGGTTTTAAAAGGAACTCATTGGATATATGCAAGCGAAAGACCCTGGAAGCAACCATAAAATCTTATTTGGCTAGTAAACACACATTGTGTGTGTACAGTATATATATTAGTTATTAGTACCATAGAATTTAATTTTTCACATTTTTTTTTTTTTTTTGGAATTTAATTTAGTCACACTTTATGTTAACAAATACTACAATAATCTTTCCCTTGGTTAGCTGAGAGGATAGAGAGTGAAGAGAATTTTGAATGTTATATATGCCGTATGGGCATTATAGATAATAATGTACAAATGTGAAGGTTATTTAGTCACACTTCTGAGGTTTTTTCGGGGTTTCTGCAGCTAAAGCTGGATTTCTCTCAGGCTCCACTGGAATTGAATCAGTTCCTGGTCCTCAGTTACCTTCAATTGAGTTTCTCAATCGATTTAACGGTACGATCTTTGCTTACATTTATTTTATTTCTTGTAGCATTTTGTATTAGATATGAGACAGCAAAAAAAAAAAAAAAAAGGGCTTCAATCTCACATTCTTTTGCAGAAGAAAATCAGAAAAAGTATGCTGAAGCCGACGCAAGATTTAAAGAATCGCCCCTACTTAAGAAACTACTTGAGCAATCCAAGCTGAATAAAGAGAAGTATTTCTCCTAGCTTGGTGTGAAATTTTTGTGGACAGATAAATTGTTAGACAGCCTCCATTGGGTTGTAAAACATTTCAGCTTCATTTTCTTTAGAATTTATTTTTATCAAGCCTACCTAAAGACAGTCAATTTCTGTGTTACTTGACTCTCCAAAAGTAGTAGTAAAGTACGGAGGCGCAATACTTGGACATGGGTATGGATACGTGTCCGACACTTTTGATTGGACATGCATCTAAAAAACATATCCGAGGATTCAATTTTATCATATTATTGCTTCCAAAAGAGTCAAATGCCTATCTTAAACACTAGGTAACATAAGAACTTCAAGTTTCAACCGGAGAAAAAGCAAAAGATAGGGAAGGGAAAAAGGAATGTAGCATTCAAAGCAATCTTCTATCTTTTTATGTTTCTAGGGCATAGCAAAAATAATTTCTGGATGCTGAAGCATGGGGTTTTAGTGTCCAATCACGAGCTCTTTGTAACTACACACACAGTGTGTTGAAACACATTTATGGTGACACCGTAATCAATAGTTTTACATTGTTATGGAATTTTCAGGAACAAGCAAGAAATTCAAGATAAGTACTGCATAAGGGGAGCAGAGTGGGGTGTTGGAGATTGTTCGACGGAGGGAATGTCAGAACTAGAGAAAGAGAAGTTCATTTCCATGTTGAAGCAGAAGGCTGGAGTACCAGAAGAGAAAGGGGACTTCATTTCCATGTTGAAGGAGAAGGCTGGATTAAAATGAGCGAAGCAATCGTGCCCTGCATGGAATGCCTGCTTGCAAGATTACCGGATCAGGTGAAATAATCATGTTAGGTTACATTTGACCACTGTTTACACCATTTTTTTAAGCAGTCCCCCCCCTTGTCACATGTGAAACAAATTAGACGTTTATTATGTAACAGCATTGTACTTTTTAGCTATCGAATTCACTGGTTTGTGCCATGACCGTTATGAAAATCTATACATGCTACAAGAGCAGGAGGAAACTTGTTCACATTTTGGTATAGACATTGATGTAGAATACTAGTGTTATGCAGAAGTGACGGTCCATCAGTAAGCACTGTCTTGGTGCCTATATGGTATAACATTTGATTTAGCACTAGTCTAACCTAACATCGCGTAGTTCAGTTATAACTTAGCTCAGTAGCTTAGATACAATATACACCGGTAACACCCTTTTTCTACACCATGTATACCTTTTGACACTGCACCTCTATAAAACCCCTACTATGTACTCAGTGTCACGGGGAAAACTTCACCATCAACAGCACAGTTAAGAAGCATTTTAAGCATAACGATAGCTGCACTAGGAAAGTAAAGATTGTAGCGAAACCCTTTACGAGGGATAGGAGGGTGGGGTGGGTGCAGATCTATGTGAAGGTGATTCAGGTGATCGCCTTCACCCTATGTGTTGTACATTAAAAGGCAAAGAACAACAGTGTGTGTGTGTGTGTGTGTGGTGCTAGGTTGGTACTGGTTTGTGTTTGGATGATATTGTTGTCAAATACCATACTTGTTAGGTTGTGGTTCCTAAGTACTGAGGTAGGAATTACTTTGCTAATAAAACTTAAATATGTAAGATAGATCCTACTATTAGCAATCTAGTTTCTTGTTCGCTTGCATATGGCTTAAGATGATATTCATCAGCAATGTTTCACAATGTCACTATGCAGAGACTTGTTAGTAAAGGTGATTTCAAAAATCATCTCAATCATCTTATCGAAAAAACTAAATTAACAATTTCATTAAACAGCTTTTCACCGATTGAGTGCTTTCAAACGCGACAACATAACAATCTTTTAAAACCTAAGCATTTGAAAAACAATCTGCTTTTCTGCCTAATCAAAATAGTGCCACAAGCAAAACTGAAGCTATCCTGCTCGTATTAGATCAGTACCATCAAAAATGGTATAAACCATGCGAAACGTCTAATCCTGTTCCGTCCAGTTAGTAATGTACCTCACAAAAATGTTGTGATAGTTAGCTCTGCATGACAACATTTTGGTCACGTACATCACTAACCAGAGGGAAAATGACAACGGTTTCGGAGAAGAGAATTTTAGACTGGTAGGATTGCGGTAGAGTGGTAGTGATACAATATAAAGTAACTAAAAGGTTCTTTTGAGATTGAAGTCAAGGAAGAGAAGTATGAAATATTCGCCTCACAAGTGAATTAGAAATTAATAACAATGTTGCAACTTTTGATTAGCCATAAGGAGAATTGCAAATGCAAAAATTTCCTGAATTTTTTCACTGTTAAATAGCTATAATTATCTTACTAAGTTTTTTTTTAGGAAGTTGGTGTTGAGCCTTTTAGAGCACTTTATAATTCACCATAAAATACATGTAATCTACCGTCTCATATGTACCGGCCGATTAAGTGAAAAAATTCTCTAAGGTGGCTCCAGCATAGTTTGAACTCCTGACCTCCAAGAGTTTTGGTTTTAAATGATAAGAATTTGGCATGTGCTCGAGGATTTAATATATTTTAGGCTAGAGGTTGAAGAACGAAGACTGCTAAGGGCCTGTTTGCTACGTGTTTTATTTGTTGTGTTTTTGTTAGGTTTGTTTTGAACGCTTTGTAAATAGTGGTCAAAATCGAAACTCCAATTTGATATTTTTATGTGTTTCAGCACTATAGTGATGAGCAGTAAAAAATAAAAATTTGAAAATATCTTAAATTACATTTTAAACTAACTATTATATTTTTCAAACTTGTAACATTCTTTTTAGCAAACATGTTTTCATATTTTTTATTTAAATTTTTTTGTAATAAATGGATCTTATCAAATATGCTTTCAATTACCATTCACAACACCATACAACATAACGCTATTCCGGTTAGTGAACAGCCCAAACCAAACATGTCCTAAAAGATTCCGACTATTTTGAAGGCAACTTTAGAATTATTGGAAATTATATAATACAAAAAGAAAATAAAAGGAGTTGAGTGGGGTAAAAAAACAAATTTAGACAATCAACCAGACACGTTATCAAGCAATCACAGACACAATGGTAGCAATTTCATTTTACTGATAAGCAATACTTAAATGCAGATTCAGACTTATGCAAAACTTTGAAGGAGACAAGTCAAGCTTGGGCCTTGAGGTGGACCAAATCTCGTGGAGTGTGCAAAAAAATAAGAATTGATTTATAATCATTTCGGGTTAAAAGAAAAACATAAAAACAAAACCCTATTCCTGTTAGTGAACAGGCTCATACCGAATATGTCTCAAAAAATTTCGAGTATTTTGAACGAGGCAACTTTAGAATTGTTGAAAATTATATAATACAAAAAGAAAATAAAAGGAGTTGAGTGGGGCAAAAAGCAAATTTAGACAATCAACCAGACACGTTATCAAGTAATCACACAGAAAGGTAGCAATTTTCATTTTACTTATGAGCAATACATAAACAATGCAGTCTCAGACTTGAAAAGTATGCAAAACTTTGAAGGAGACAAGCCAAGCTCGGGGCTTGAGGTGGACCAAATCTGGTGGACTGAGCAAAAAATAAGAATTGGTTTATAGTCATTTCAGTTCCAAAATATATGTCCCGTCGGTAACTGCGATTCATTATAAACTTCGTAAACTTGAGTGTAAATATTTGATTCGATTCAAAATAAGTATTAATTTTTAATGCTTCACAAGTAAAAATCATTTACGTTATTTTTTCACCTCCTAAAGTATAAAGAATAATGCGGTGTTGGAGTGAGTTTCTTACTAAAGTAGTAGTAAAAAAAAAAAAAAAAGAAGAAGAAGAAGAAGGGAAAGAAAGAAAAGGTGAAATCATTTGGTATTTTAAAATATTAAGACAAGAGTGAAATCATTTGGTAGACAAAAGGTTAATTATGCTTTATGAATATAATATTTATAAATGACCCTATCCAATTAAGTAACAGTTGTTATCAATTTATTATATAACAAAAGTATGAATTGATTACTTTAAAAAAGAGAAGAAGTATGAATTAATTTATGAAAAATGATAAGTCTTTCGATCTCAATTATCGACACTTTCTCTAAATACAACGTGGTTGGGAATGAATAGAAGAAAAAATGATGTTTACGGGATTTCCAACCACGTTGTATTCGAAAGAGAGTCAGCAATTAAGGTTGAAAGATGTATCATTTTTCTTAATTTATTACTCATTTTAGTAATTAAAACTAAACAAAATTTTCTACTTGGTAATTTTTATTGGAAATTTTTGTGAAACAGTGGTTCGTATAAGCAGTTTTATCATTCATAAACTTATGACAAAAATCTGTAGATTTCAAATTTCATTACCAAATATATTTAATATTGGACTCATAGAATTTTTTTCCTTAATTGTCATATGCATGTAAAACATGGGTCTCATGTACTAAGAGCCAGTTTGTACTTTTATCAATATATGTGTCAAATAAAAGTACATGGTCTCATGTTGTTGGAATAAAAAAAGTAAAATAATTGCGGTTATTAAAAAAATATATTAGGTGTTTAATGGCACATTATAATAAGTATTTTTTTTAATTAAAGTATTTTAAAATTTATTTGGTATAATATTTTTAAAACAATTGTATTACTACTTTTACAATAATATTCTTTAATATGATGTTACATAATAGCAACTTTATTAAGGAAATGATATAATTGTTATGATAAAAAAGAAAAAAAGACAAAATTAGCTATTGAAAAAGAGTTATTAATTTAATAATCATTTAAAGTGCTTTTAATGGTTACCAAACACATGTCAATATAACTTTTCAAAATAAAAAGGCTTTTAAGTCGTAGAGAAACAATCTGGTAGACCTACACATTATTGTAAAAGAAAAAAATTTAAATTTAAATTTAACTTTAATTTTTTTTTATGGGGTTATAGAATGATTTCCTTATTTTAAGTCCAAACATTTGCCAACCAAAAATAAAAATTTAAACTGTTTTGCAAGGTTATTAACGGAATTTCGTAAAAGACCGAGGGTGATTCTGAAAACATGAGTCAAACCATACATAAAGACAAAACCCCGATAAATTTCAATTTTATGTCGCATCTCCAATTTCTGGCCAGATGAGTTTTTCGCATAGAATGCTCATCAGGTCCAGCAAAAATTGACGTCACTTTCTCTCTACAATCATTTCGCCGATTGTGCCCTAAAAAATCACAGGTAACCTTTCTATATTTCCTCAATCAATTGGTTCTTTTTTGTTTCTCTCTCCCGTCTCTTCTTTCGCTTTCAATGTTTGGCAAATCCGTAAGCTTCGTGAATTCTTCAAGTTAGGTTTGTACTGTGTATCTATCTGTGCGTATTCAATTCAGTAAAGACGACTTCAAATTCGTTTTTATAGATTGACACTTTGATTTTTCGATTGTGATTGTTCTGTTCTTAATTTGAGATGATGATGATGATGATGATGTGAGATTTCTGTTAAGAATTGTTTTGAATGAATTATGGGACTTGAGGTTTAATTGAATTGTTTATGTTGAGCAGTGATGCAAGGTTCTGTAGCTGGTGGAACTTATGTTCATAATTGTAGAGCTGGGTTGACTGTGATATGTTGTGTTTTTTCAGGGGTGTTGTAATTGATTAGGCCTTGCAATAGGAGTTTATTTGGGGATGTTGGTTCAGTTTGTTTCCGAAGTTCGGATTAATTGAGGGGCTGTAGGAATAACAGTGATTGTGGGGCAATTGAAGGAGGTGAAATTTTGATTTGGAGTTGCAAAAATGTATAGGCCTGTGACGGCAACCACCACCCGGGGTGGATTACCTACTGAGAATGGGGATTCTGTGGTTACACTTGATCAAGTGCCATGTTGGAGCGATGCTGAGTATAGGTCTCCGTACGAGAACGAAGATCCTGGCTTTTCGAGTTCATACTTTCCCGACCCTTTATCTTCTGCTTCGGGGGCAGGGAGTAGTGGAAATGGGATGGTTTCCAGGTTTCCAGTTGATTATGAAATTAACTCAAGGATCTATCTGTGGAGAGGGAACCCTTGGAATCTTGAGGTAGACGCTGTTGTTAACTCCACAAATGAGGTGAGCAGTCTAATACATACTGTACTGTGTTTTAGTTAAGTGATTTGTCAGTGTGATCATTGTAACGTATATATATGATATGTTTATTTGGTTGAATCAAAGTACTGTTTTTTTGTTTTTTATTTATTTATTTATTTTTGTTGGAAAATGACATCTTTGTAATTGTTACTTTCAGATTTGTGTGCCACCTGCATTTCTTTTTGTAACTTTATGGGGAAATGGAAATGATTCAAATAGCCTTTTTGTGCATATGGGGGGTTCTGGGAATATGCTATAAATAGGATAAATTTGAGGCGGCTTGCTTCATTGAAGTTGAATATACATAGAATCATCAATGTAACAAGTATAGGCAGGATTTCATGTGCTCGACAAGCTGACTAAGCTTATAAAACCCAAAGTTCTAATTGTTGTCCTGCACTTAAAATCATGAAATTGTTAGTCTATCCGCACCCCAATGTGTGCAAACTTTCTTAGAATCACTTTCCATGACAAAATATAGATTTTTTTTTTGGCCATGTCTAAATAACCTTCTGACCCTGGACCATTCTGTTAAATTAACTCTATTATGGGGTTACATAAAATTTTCTCTCAAATAGATTATGGAAATGTGCTTAATTTTCAATTTAGAATTGACAAAAAATAAGTAGCCCCATTCATCCTTGTTCCATTGTTCATATTCCCCAAGATTCTGGAATGTGTTCTCTGGCTTCTCCTATGGATTTTGTTGCCAATTCCATTTTCATCCAAACATAATTTGATTTTGTCAAATTTAGTTTGATTCACAATCAATTAAGCTAACTGCATCCTAGGGCCAATTAAATAAACCCTAGTACCAGTTCCATTTCTTTCCATCTAATAGGACTATAAGTATCCTTTTGACCATCTGCGCTATAAAGCAGGTTGGATTTGGATTACTAACTAGTTAACAGTGGAAGTGGTTTATTTTATTCTGAGAATTATTTTTCTATTGGGTGGTTGACAGAATCTGGATGAAGCACACAGCAGTACCGGTTTACATGCTGCAGCTGGACCTGGTCTTGCAGAAGAATGTGCAACACTGGTAAGCTAATCATATATTTTATTCACTCTTATTTCTATTTTTCTTTTTCTTTTACCCGAAACATTTTCCTATTCATGGATAGTGTGGACATGGGCATTATACACTAGGCTTGGGAACTTAATGATTAGCCACTCAATCATGTATATATAATATAACATGACACTTAGGAATATATATACTTGTATATTGTTTATTCTTGCTAAGATAAAATATTGTATGTACAAAGATGTCTTATGTTGAGTCTGGGAGCATTGAATCGGCGCTTTGGATTTGGGATTGGAGGAAATTTAGTTCAATATTTCAACTAGATTTCTTCCAATCCCAAATCCAAGCCACCAATTGGGTTCTCCCAAACATTGCATTATAGTATTTTTTTGGTATTATTAAACAAGAGGAATATAATTTAATTGAAGCAAATTTGATTCAAGATATTCTGAAAGATATTAAAGTTGATGCTTGATGAAAATGAAACTTGTCAAAAGCTGAAACAATGTGGTGTAACTTTATTTTTTCACAGGGTGGCTGTCGGACGGGGATGGCAAAAGTTACTAATGCATATGACCTTCCTGCAAGGTGGGTAACATGGTTTTGTTTTATAAAACTGTTCGATATGGTTCTTATGGTCACATTTTTATGTATATGTTAAAAATGGAAAAAAGAAGTAATGCATTGAGGTTTTATAGAAACTCAGTTCTGCGTACTACCCTGTTTTCCCATGCCTTTGTGCAAAGGGATCTACATAATTTGATATTTCATCATTATTTTAACCTAGAGTCTACTTTTAGTGTCCATGGAAACATACAATGCTATCCATTTGTGTAATTTTAGAGACATGAACTATTGACTTATGCTGAATTATGTTATACTTTTTCTAGGCGGGTTATTCATACAGTTGGCCCCAAGTATGCTGTAAAATATCATACCGCTGCAGAGAATGCTTTGAGTCATTGCTATAGGTCTTGCCTAGAACTTCTTATTGAGCACGGGCTTCAAAGGTTGTTTTGTACCAATACAACATCATTTTCTTTATATTTGTGCATTTAATTTTTGTTAAATTGGAACTTACTATCTTGTAACATGAATGAATGCAGCATTGCTATGGGCTGTATATACACAGAGGCAAAAAATTATCCCCGTGAACCTGCTGCTCATGTGGCAATAAGTGAGATATTTCCCTATATGCTGTTGCAATTCTTCTCTTTGTTATGGTGATATATCTTTTAATTGCCTGTGTTGTTCTTTTGACTGCCAATGTGCAATACATAAATTACTTTGTAATAAAATTTAGAAGATCTTTGCTTTACATAAATATGCCTATACTTATGGAAGGTTCTGTTTATATAGTTCATGGACGTGTTTATATGGTTAGTGTTTCTTATTTCATTCCTTATCATTAGATTCATCTTTTTTTTTTTTTTGTTTTTAATCAGGAACCGTCCGTCGATTTCTTGAGAAACAGAATGATAAAATCACAGCTGTTGTTTTTTGTACTACAACGTCATCTGATACTGAGATATATAAACGGTATGCTAGTCTTGCTGCTTTTTTCTATTATTAAGGCAATGTGGATGTTACAAATTTTTATACAAGTTTTGATATGACACCTTTAAGTAGCTTATGGCATTAGAGGTGACATATCCTTTTGTTAGTATATATTTTTAAATTTATGCACTTTATTCTTTATTCTCATTTCAAATGTAGATTGCTTCCACTTTACTTTCCTCGGGATAAACATGAGGAAGAGGTGGCAATATCGAAGCTTCCTGCAGATGTTGGGGATGAAAATGGTGAGACAGTTATAGATGAACGTAAAATCAGAATAAAGCCTTTGCCAAATGTTAAAAAGTCTATTCCTAAACCTCCTAAACCTTTGCAAGCGTCAATGGATCTTCCTGTCAGCGATGTTGGCTTGGCAAGACGGTTAGTGAATGACTCAAAAGCTTATTATATATCTTCAGATACCTTTATTTTTATTTTTCATTTTCTATCCTTGTCTTTTAGTGATGAGTCGTTAAGGATTGCCAGAATATGTATCTATATTGGGGATGGCTTTAATTAAGCTGAATGTATTTGTTTGTTCATCACCTTTGTGGTTCTTGTTCAATTTTTAAATATTATGTTCTTTACGTTTTGAACTTGTCAAAAAAAAAAAAAAAAAAAAACGTTTTGACAGTGCAGATGTTAATATGTTGGGCTAATGCTTAGGATCCTATTTTTGAGTGCCGTTTTGCAACTTGAGCAGTTTGTTCGTGTTGCGAGTGTGCTACAAGGACGAGGCCAAAAGAACTTGGCGTAGCGATGAGAGTATATATAGATAGACTGAGATCTAAAAAAATACATGACCATAGATAGAGCAAGTAGCCAACTCCACTTTGTTTGGGCTTATGATTTAATATTTGAGTTGTGCTGTCATTCTGGGTTGAATTATTTGAAAGATATTTATTCCCATAGTGCTTATTATTATTTTAAATCATTCAATCCTGATAAATCAGCTTTGCTTTGGGCTTTGTCTTCATCATTAGATAGTTCGCAATGAGGTTGCCGCCTAGTAACTGAGGACTGATAAGAGACAGCCTCAAAAGATCAGTGGGTAATGCCCCTTGAGGCATTATCGAATAGTCATTAACTAATCTTATAAATAATGCCAATTCCACAGCATTAAAGGTAGATGACCTTCCCCATTACTCCTGCTATAGAACCATTATTCAATATATTAGAAATCTTTGTCCGGGAGTCTAAGAAGCATGGAAACGGATACATGACATAGGTACGACACAACATGGATACGGCAACATGGCTAATCCTAAAAAATTAGGACACAAAAACAGCGGGGACACAACAAATAAGAAATATATTTTCTATATATATGATGTTGTACTTTAAGAAATTAAGAGTAATATTATTTTTCACAATCTCATAATTAAAAAAAAGAAAAAAGAAAAAAAAGAAGAGAGAGACAAAGAGGATTAGGGTTTTGCTAGAAAAAGAATTAGGCCTTAGTTAAAAATAAAGGTAAGAATCCATAGAAGAGAAAAAAGTTCATGGGGAATAGAGGAAAAAAAAAAGAAGGTAAGAGAGACAAAAAGAAATTTATTGTGAAAGGAAAAAAAGAAGTATTTTGGGTTTGTGAAGAACAAAAAGAAGAAAGAAAAGAGGAGGATGAAGAACAAAGAAGCACGGAAACGGATACGGGGCACCGATATGACATGACACGGATACGGCGACACGGCAAATCCTAAAAAATTAGGGCACGGACACGGTGGGGTCACGGCAAATAAGAAATATATTTTCTATATATATGATGTAATTCAAGAAAAGAGTAATATTATTTTTTACAATCTAATAATGGAAAAAAAAAATTGTTTTGCTGGAAAAAAGAAAGAATGATAGAAAGAGGGTTAAAAAAAAAAAAGACAGAGGATTAGGGTTTTATTAGAAAAGGAATTAGGACTTGGTTAAAAATAAAGGTAAGAATCCAAAAAAGAGAAAAAAGTTCACGGGGAATAGAGAAAAAAGGAAAAAGAGAAAAAAGTTCACGGGGAATAGAGAAAAAAGGAAAAAGAGACAAAAAGAAATTTATTGTGAAAGGAAAAAAAGAAGTATTTAGGGTTTATGAAGAACAAGAAGAAGAAAGAAAAGAGGAGGATGAAGAATAAGAGAGAAAAGAGGAGAAAGAGGGGTGAGAGTGAGACCATTCACCGGTAGCGAAGCTTGGTTGGTGGGACAGCAAGAGAGTCAAAATTGATCGTGCAAGGGTTCTAACCTTTGAACTAAAATATAAGAATAAATATCCAATTGTTTGAATATAAAATTGTTTTATGAAACAAGAAGTTTGTAAGTAATTATGTAATTAAACAACTCCTAATATTTACACTTCAACTCAACATTGTTTCTAAAACTTTCTTAAAAATCTCCAAAGAGCGGGACACGCGTGTCGGACACGTATCCATGGCGTGTTGGAAGCGTGTCCACGGCGTGTCCGACATGTGTCGGGGTGTGTCGGTGTCTGACACGGATTCTTTGCCCTTTTAGGCGTGTCCGTGCTTCCTAGACGAAGAATAAGAGAGAAAAGAGGAGAAAGAGGAAAGAGAGATAGAGAGACCATTATTCACCGGTAGCGAAGCTTGGTTGGTGGGACAAGAAGAGAGTCAAAGATGATAGTGCAAGAGTTCGAACATTTGAACTACAATATAAGAATATATGTCTAATTGTTTGATTATAAAATTGTTATATGAAACAAGTTTCTAAGTAATTATGTAATTACCATCATATTACTGAAAAATATTAAACTCCTCCTAATATTTACACTTGAAATCAACATTGTTTCTAAAACTTTCTTTAAAATCCCCTGGGACACGTGTCGGACATGTATTCATGGTGTGTCGGAAGTGTGTCTGGATATTAAAAAATATGAAATATTCGGACACGTTTTTTGGCATGTCTGTCACGTGTCCCTTTTAGGCGTGTCCATGCTTCCTATTCCGGAGTGCATTGAATTCCTGCCTTCCCTGGAACCTTTGGGGTTTGTCTGGTTCTTCCCCTCCTTCCATTTCATATTCTGAGTCCCATTCTCATTACGAGAGACATCTCCATATTTATTTCTTACTATTAGCTACTGCTTGAATTAAAGAACCCCCATAATGTCAAATTGGCACGCTTACTCAGTTCTTTCAATACGTTGATGTGGATTGTCTCGCGAAACAGTAATGATTGTGTATTATCTTGGGAAATAAGGATGATGCTAGAGCTGTACTCGCCTGGCAAGAAATTATATATTCATTGGCCGATCTTATTCCCTGAAATTCTCCCATAGGTAATGAGGTATTTTACGTAGGGTTGAAATCCCATTTGAGCTCCCAATAGATGAACTGCCTCGATTTGTTCCTCTGCTGAGAGGAGTATACGATCTCTTGGGTAATAAAAGGAAATCAGAGTTGTGCTTATCTGGCAAGAAAGTACTACTGCAGACTTGTATATATGTTTTTTTCCTTTCCGGAGATAGGGTGGCTAAGATAAAGCATTTCTGTTTCACCAAGGCAAGAAATGTGGTGCTAAAATCCTAACTGAACACTTGTGGTGCTTTTCTATGATATCTTACTTATCCAGAGATGTGTGTGTGTGTGTGTGTGTGTGTGTGTGTATTCAACAACTTATCATTTATTAGGACATTTTCTTGTTTTTTCATTTGCTTTCCATATACAGGTATGCATATCTTTGGTGCACATTGTACTCCTCTCTCTATCGCACACAGTGCAACTTCTTTTCTCCTTCCCTCTCTTTCGCAATGCAACTTATTTTTCTCTTTCCTCTCTTCTGCAGTGCAACTTATTGTTGCTCTTTATATCTGCTGAACTTACTGGAAGATTGTTCTCTCTTAACAGTAGCTCATCATACCTGGATTCATATTTGGATCCTGCTTTCATGTCCCTAATTAAGGATCCAGATCAGCGACGCAAGGAACAATGGGAGAAAACTGCTCAAGCACAAAGTGGATTTAACTGTGCTAAAATGCTTGGATTTGGTAACCTTGGGGGACCTCCATTGTCTGCTGCAGAAGAATACTCACTTCATTCTAGATATCTTGCTAAAGCAAATTCTCTTAATCTTTCCGAAATTGCGGAAATGAAAATTGTGTAAGGACTTCTCTTTCTTGGGGAGTAGCACACTCTTGCATGCTTGACAGAGTCACATTGGTTCTCTGCTATGCCTATAACTAGTGATAATTTTAGAATGTTCAATTAATGCTTGTCATTTAAATAGTGATGATGCCAATTAAGGGGTATCTTGTCTTTTATGACTTACCTTAGGTAAGAGTCATGTCCTGCAAAATCCTTCGAGCTTCTAGCATTTATCAAGGTTCTCATTTGGGTTGCATGTTGACACTAGAATTCATGTAGTTCTATGCTTTTGTTTCAGTTACCGTGGTGGGGTTGACAGTGAGGGTCGTCCAGTGATGGTCGTCGTGGGAGCACATTTTCTGCTGCGATGTCTTGATTTGGAGCGGTTTGTGCTCTATGTAATAAAGGTAAAAAAAAAAAAAGGCTACTGCTTGATTTGATTTGAGGTGTTTGAAGTTTATTATTGCAACATCATTGTTCTCCCTTTGATATTGTTCTTATGTTATTATCCTTTCCTTGGCTCTGTTCTTTATTAAGCATTGGCCGTTAGAACTATGGTGATTGTAATTTGTATTTAATATCAAAATTTCAGGAGTTTGAGCCTGTGATACAGAAGCCTTATACAATTGTTTACTTCCACTCTGCTGCATCTTTACAGTTGTAAGTCTCAAGTATTTCTCTTTTTGTTTATTTCAAAATTTGAGCTCCTCCTTCAAAAACCAATGTGAAGAAAGCATGGATCTTTTTGGTGCTTCAAGTGGCATAGAATATTTGTTCGCATCTATGAAATTCTTGACTAAGTTTTAGTTTCTTATACCATTGTTTGACATTGACTTGCCCTACAATATTTTGTTTGCTTTTGCTCAGCACATTTTGTGCGCGCGTAATTTTGTAAGTGTTAAAAAGATTGTAGGAAAGTCTTTCCAGTCAAATGTGAATGGGTTGCATGGCGTGGAATCTGAATAGCCTTGTAGGAATTGGTTTTATTTTTAAGGGATAATTTAAATAGTAGCAAGTATTGGAATTACTATTTATAATACCATAAATACGAAAAAATATCTACATATAAAGCAATTTAACAAAAAGTAATTACAAATAGGATAATTTACACACCGTACTTTAATATTGGTAAGTATTTATACAATTAAGACAAAATTACCCCTATCTTTTTAAGAATTCCCCATTAACTCTTAATCTATACATACACATATATACACCACCACCGGACCAGCACCGCCCTAGAATAACCCACCCACCACCCTAGAATCCTCCAATCTCTTCCAATCCTCCTCTCCCTTGTCTCTTCTCTCTCTTACCTTCTCTTTTCTCTCGTCTCTCTCTCTCTTTATACAATCCTATATATATATACTCCATCACCACCATCTCCGGACCACCACCACCGACCACGGGACTACCACCACTCTCTCTTTCAACACCATCCCACCTGAAAATTAACACCCAAAAGCCATACCCAGCTATACCAATTTTTGTTTTTGTTTTTTTTTGATAAGTAATAATCGATTGGAAGAGCATTCAAAAGGGGAACGCATCCCTAATACAAAAACAGAAGCTGAACCTAAGGACCCATAGAGTCCAAAAGATCAACTAAGTCAGCGGTAGAGGAGCAAGTGCTTCCTTTCACATAACAAAAAATAAAGCGAAGAATATGAAGTTTCAAGGTCGCCAAAGGTGATTTCCTTCGAAAATTCTGCTATTCCTCTCTTTCCATATACTCCACCAAACACAGTGTGGAACTATCCTCTAATAATCGCGAGCGTGACTTCTCACTTGGCATCCTCTCCACGCATTAATCAGACCTTTGGAAGACTGAGGCATTACCCAATGCATGCCAAATAAACCGAAGATGAGGTTCCAACAAACGTACACCACAAGACAGTGCATAAGGATGTGATCCACAGACTCACCATCTCGTTTGCATAAACAACACCAATTAACAATAGTATTGCCTCTCTTCCTCAAATTGTCCAGCGTCATGATCTTACCCCAGACGGCAGTCCAAACAAAGAATGCCGCTCTAAGTGGAGCCTTGGAGCGCCATATAGTCTTCCATGGGAAAACAGGACCAACGAAGTTGAAAGGCATAGAAAGATGGACCGGACATCAAATCTTCCATGGGAGGAAGAAACCCACAAAATGTCATCACTACCTCTGCCAACTGCCTCCTGCTGATACAACATATCCAGAAGGGCACATATCTCGTACCCAACTATACACAATTAAAGAATAGATTTGGATCTAAGCATCATCTTAGCCGCCTCTATAGTCACTAACAACAAACCAGGGGTGAGGTGCGTGTCTATCTTCAATGCCTGTCCTGTTACATCACTTTCTCTCTCTCTAATGCATCTTCAACTACCACCCCCGGTGCTCTAATTTTAGGTCTGCATTTTAGAAACCCTATTCCTATTTTGATTTTTTCAATTTTGAAACCCCAAATCTCCACGTGAATACTAAATTTCTTCAATTTCGAAACCCTAATTTGATTTCTTAAATTCGAACAAATCACTACGGGATTGTGTGGGAGTGAGGAGAGAAAAAGAGGTATTGGTGATGGTTGTGGTTGTGTGGCGATGCTTGTGGCGGTGCTTGTGTGGGACTGTGGAAGGGTTACATGGTGGTAGGTGTAGGTGATAGATGCTTGTAGTGAGAAATTTCTGTTTGTTTCGATCTGGGTATTGCAAAGGTGAGGGTTTTCTGCGTTCGGTTTGGATGTTGGTGGTGGTGGCGGCGAGTTAGTGGTGGAGAGGAGGAGTCGGTAGTGGTGGGGAGGGAATGAGGGATTTGGCTATGGTGGAGGTCGGCGGCAATGTTGGTGGTTGTGACCGCGGCAGTGGGTTGTATGTGGATAGAGAGAGAGTGAGTAAAGGGCGGTGGCTGTGGATAGAAAGAGAAAGTGAGCAAAGGGGATGAGATGGAAGAAGAGGAGATGGATGTCAATGTTTAAAGTGTTGAGGGCATTTTAGACTATATTTGTATAATTCCTTTACTTTTGTTAAGTTGCTTTATACTTTGATTATTTTATCGTATTAATTGTCTTTTAAATAGTGTCCCAAATACTTACTATTTTTTAAAGTATCCCTATTTTTTATGGTGGGGATGTATGTGAAATTTCTTCTGAAAGTATTTTTGCTTGACTCGCTCTTTTACTTATTTTTGTTGGAGTAAATAGGCAACCAGACCTGGGATGGATGCGGAGAGTACAACAAATACTGGGTCGGAAACACCAGCGTAATCTTCATGTATGCAATGCTATAAATTTTTCTGTGCATTCAAAAGACGCATGTCTGCTCTCTTGTATTTAATCTCCTTTTTTACGTAGGCAATTTATGTTCTTCACCCGACTTTTGGACTGAAGGCTGCAATATTTGCTCTGCAACTGTTTGTAGATAGTGTGGTATGTCCGACCCTTACTATTCAAATGAATGGAATCTGAATCTTTTTACTTGCCTTTTGGAAGTTCTTAACTTGTTGATACTTAGGTGTGGAAGAAAGTGGTTTACGTTGATCGTCTTCTGCAGTTATTCAGATATGTTCCTCGAGAACAATTGACCATCCCCGACTTTGTATTTCAGTTGAGTTTCCTGTGCTTCTCTCAAAAAAAATTCGTTCTTCTTTCTAAAGTAATCAGAGACTGTTACCTAAAGCCAGGCAACAATTTGATTATGAATCCACCTAATGGAAAGGCATGTCATGGCCCCGTGATGTTTTAGTTGCTCTGATTATTACTGGTTCGTGTTTATATTTAGGGCAGCCTAATTGGTGGCACTTATCAGTGTGCTGATTGACACAGTAATTGTCTTAAGCGCTGATGAAGGGAATAAAAATAAGACATTTCATTCTCAGTTTATAATGATGTGTTAATGCAGGCACGATTTAGAAGTGAATGGAGGAAAGGGCCTAATTGTGGATCCCAGAACAAAGTATGTATATCATCGACCGTAGGCCTTGCGTATCATGCTTAAAACAAGCGACTGAGAAGGTCCCCGGGATTGCATTCTCTTCATTTTCTTATATTTTTTTATTGTATGTGCAGGTAATTTGAGATGGTTGTAGTTGTTGGTTATTGTTATAAAGTCACGTGTCACTTCCTTTTTGTCTTTTTTCATATTTATTATTTTTATTTTTATTTTTTCTTTCTTGAGATATGTTTTGTATTATGTCTGCAGATGGAATTAGTTTTTTCTCTGTAATTTCCTATTTGTTGGATGAGTCCTTTGCCAATAATCCAAAATGATTTGAGCATTGATTGAAGCTGCTTGAAAGCTGAGAAAATTGTGGTTTTTTTTTTTTTTTTGGCTTTTCGGTAAGGGAGAAAATTGAGTCGATGAAGTGTTATCAGTGTGTCAATCTGAAGTTTGATGCCTGTTTTTCTGGACTTCCCTATTATTGTTTTTGTTAGCGAGACTATTTATACTGAAATTGGAGGTGAATGGAAGTTCCAATGGTCATTTATGTAGATGATGTGGGGGTTGCGATGGCCTCTCTCTCTCTCTCTCTCACACACACACACACCAGTTGGTTAAAAAAGGCTTTTGAGAGATCAAAACAAGAGTCAATTAAGAGAGGCTACCATGACATCTTAAAGGTCACAAGGCTAAAGTTGTGTGTGTGTGAGAGAGGCTACCATGACATCTTAAAGGTCACAAGGCTCAAGTTGTGTGTGTGTGTGTGAGAGAGAGAGGACAAATTTTGTGCAAGTTTTTTTAATTTATCCAGTAGATGAAACAGGATTCGATTCAACGCAATTGGTTTGGTATTCTGAAAAATATCTACAAAATTTTGTTGCTCGAATGAGACCATAAACATTAAATATTGGATATATCAAATGCAAAGTATATACAGTGACTCAATTTCTTGTTAAAGCAAAAAGAAAAGGAGCACCGATTTCTTCCATTTTAGAGTTCCGAGCTTTTTTATTTATTTATTTTTTATTATTATTATTTTTTATCATAAAATTGAGAAATTTATTAAAAGATTCATTTCATATTTTACACTCCAACTAATCACACAGTCCATTTATATGACCTATATTGTGTTTTCAAATAGGTGTTGTTTATATAAAATAAAGGGTAATTGCTTGATATTGAGAAGGTGAAAACACAAGTTTGAAATCAATCGCTAAGGACTTGCACATATATTAAAAATAGTTTTCAAAAATTCTAAAATATAAAAGGACTTCGAGAAAAAAGTGCTCTTTAAAACTATACATTTTTTAACCACCAAGACCTTGACTCAAGGGATAGAAAGTTGAAATCTCTTTTTTTTGTTATAGAAAGTTGATGGCTGTAGTCACCACTGTAACTGATGCTAAAAATTTCAAACTTGTTTTAATATTTACTTTTTAAAAAAATTTATTGTGAAAACTCAAAACTGAACTAAGTTGGTAAGAGAGAATTATTAAATGGAAAATACTTAGATCTCACTAGTGACATATATACAGTCCGGATATATATTCACTTATTAAATCAAAAATGGTGGGAAGAATATATGTTTAAGCACACATTAGCAGATGACTAAGCCATTACGTATTAACTAAATTAGAGATGGTGGGAAGAACGAGTTGAGACACACATTAGTCGTGATGACAATGTACATCTTCACCGGTGAGAATTATTCTTTCTGGTCGATAAGCTATACTCCTAAGATTCTAGATGAAGAACTTTTTTTCAAATATGCTTCCAATTAATATTTTAATCTCACCATGGACTTACATGTCATTTTCCAGCCAAACACACCCTTCCCGTCAAACTAAAAATGAAAATTTTCTACACCATAAATTGCGTTCCACGTGCAATTCAATCTGGTTCCAACGCTCCAAAATCCTCGAGAGCCATCTCCGCTTCTCGCTACTCTTTTAAAGTGATAAGTCACTTTTCTTTTTCTGCGGCAGCTACCCGTGAAGATCATCAACTAGGAATATGCATCACCGTGTATGTATATATGTTTATATATATTGTCAAATTTGGCTATAACATGTCAAATTACTTAAATATTGCCTCTTCTACGGTTTGTTAACTGATCTTTTTCTCGAAGCAATTAGCCTCTGTTTCTGCAATTAGAAATCATGTTTGTGATCAGTAGCGTGGTACTGTCATGATATTGTTGCTAATTTGATGTATATGTATATATATATGTTCATGTATATGGTTAGTTTCTTCAATGGGAACATTTGGCTATAATATGTCAAATTATTTCAATATTGCCTCTTCTAGGGTTTGTTATCTGATCTTTTTCTTGATACAATTAGCCTCTGTTTCTGCAATTAGAAGTTATGTTTTTTATCAGTGGCGTGGTACTGTCATAATATTGTTGTTAATTTGATATAATTTACTCTATCAACAAGGTGAGATTGTTATTGGGTGTTGTACTGTTAATACTAATTACACTGCTCTTACATTCGAGTTACACATTTAGCTAGTCATGCATATGCATGTATCTATAGGTTCTTAAGTATTTAGGTCTCATCGGTCTGTGTACTAGGGTGCTAGTTTCTTATACTTGAAAGAGGAAAAAATATAGCTATTTTAGATGACAAGAGCACCAATTGTTTATCCTATTTGCCATTGGACTAGGCTGACATATTATCCCCCTTCATTGGATAACTTATATAGGACACACAAGTTAATCCATTTGAAAAAAAGAACAAAAATGACTTCATTTAACAAAATCAAGTAATCTGACATAAGTTGAACCATTTGAAAAAGAGTAATGCTTTTGGACCTATTTGTCTGGCTGATGAATGTAACTCACGGGGTTTTTATCCACTTCATGTAGTGGATAAGTTTAAGTGTGGGTCCTATCTACTGCACCAAAGGGATAGAAACCATTCGGCTATACAAATAGGCCAAATAATCATTTTCCTTTGAAAAAAGAACAAAAGTAAGATCATGCTTGGTGTTGTTTTCTAAGATCAGTTTTCTGTTTTTCGATAACTTAAAATTGAAAAACTATACAAAAAATTGCTTCATTGATAGTTTATGTGAACTATTTTATGAAAACTTAAATAGTTCTCTGAAATAGTTTTCTAGTTTTCTGAGTTCTTGAGAACTATTTTCTGAGTGACAAACCAAGTAGGCCTTAAAAAAAAACCATCAAATCAGAATCAACAAGAATCAATCGTTAACCCTTGTTAATCTAATTAATCGGGTCATTAACAACCCAAGTCAATCTAATTAATCAGCAATCAGATGCAAGAATTCATTTTTGGAAAAATAAATCACATTCACGAATTGATATTTTATTCAATCTGCAAAAAAATTAACATAAAGTTAATTATGCTAAAATCAAATGCAGAACATTGAAAACTATTTGAATCCATTTGGCGTTAAATTTACTTCACTACAATAAAGGCAAAAAGGAAAGAAAATTGAAAATCAATGTAAAGAGCGAACTTATATATTCAAAAACATGGAAGTAAAAAATAAAAAATTATATATTTTAACAGAATTGAATAAGAATGACTGAAAACTCTGTATCAATCGAATGATGAAGGATATAAAACTTAGTTTGAGAGAAGATGAATGAGACAGGAAATTGAAGAGGAACAAATAAGGAAATAAAAGGGTTTAAAGAAGCTTCGCTAAATGTAATATTTAAGAGATTTTTGGATATACTTGTACCCTTCTAGTAGGAGGGTAGGACTGAGAATATAGAGAGGGGTGTTTTGGATGGTGTCACTTTGGAAGAAGAGATGCATTCTCTCTCTCTCTCATGTAGTCACGTCTCTATTTTATTATATCACCGCCTCTTTTTATTTTTTAATTATATATTTTTGGCAAGCTTTCGCAAGTACGTTACACATGTTGCTTACAGCTAAAGCTTATAATGTAAAATGACCGTGTTACTCTTCCGTCAGGACTATTTTTTTTATTTTATCATTGCATATTAATGTTATTTAAGCAACTAAATACAATCCGAAGTAAATTTATGATAACAATTATGTTCATAAATTTTGTTACTTATCAAAAAAAAAAAAAAAAATGTTCATAAATTTGGTTAACTCCATGAATTCAAATCCAAAAGAAAATGAAAAACAATAGTAATAAAAATATTTTTTTATGTTTTTTATTTATATAAATAGACATGACTGGTTTAAAATAGAATGGATTTTGATTCATTCTCAAACTCACTAATAACAAATTAAAATGCAATGATAAATTTAAAAAAAAAAAGAAAAAAAAAAAAGGAAAGAACAAAGAAGCATTAGTTCTTACCGAAGGTAATACGGTGATTTTACATTATTGGCCTTATCTACAAGCAACATATGTTTTTGAGTAGGTAGCCCCAAATATGTTCTTGTGAATAATTGCCAAAAAATGTATAAAAAAGGTCGGCGATACAATAAAATACACATGAGAAAGAGAGAAAATACATCTCCTTCTCTCACAATGACACCGTCCAAAGTCTCTCTTCATGCACTCCGAGCCTATTATACTAGGAGAGTATAAGTATCTCCGAAAATTTAGATAAATGTAGCATTTAGCTAGGCCTCTCGAAATATCTTGTATTTTCTTATTTGTTTCTCTTTCTTCAAATTACTTTCTCATTCATCCTCTCTCAAATTAAGCTTTTTAATTTCATCGATTGATTGATGCAGAGTTTTCAGTCATTCTGATTCGGTTCTGGTAAAATACATATTTTTAGATTTTCTGCTTCCATGCTTTTGAAAATATAAGTTTTGGGTTTGCAATGATTTTCAATTTTCTTTCCTTTTTGCATTTATTGTAACGAAGTATTTTAAATGCTAAATGGGTTTAAGCAGTTTTTAGTGTTCTGCATTTGATTTTGTCATTAATTGACTCTAGAGATTGAATAAAAGATCAATTCTTGAATGTGATTTTTTATTTTTTCTCAATAAGGAGTTTTTGCATGTGATTGTTGATTAATTAGATTAACTTGGGTTGCATGTGATTATTGATCAATTGTATATCCATTGATGAGTTTATTGATTTTTTGGGTTCGGTGGGTCCTTAGGACCTTGTCTCTAGCTTTGGGCTCTGTATAGCTCTTGGGATGTGTTCCCTGTTTAAACACTTTCTAATACATTTTACTTATCCAAAAAAAAAAAATGTCTATTTTATTGTATTGCCGACTTTTTTTTTTACTATTTTTTTTGGCAAGTTTTCACAAGCACGTTGTTTGGGGCTATCTACTCAAAAACATATGTTGCTTGTAGCTAAATCCAATAATGTGAAATGAATTAAATTAAAATATAGTATGAGTAGATATATAGTGCAAGATAATAATATTTAGGGTGTCCGAATATACATAATTTAAGCAACTAAATACAACCTCAAGTAAATTAAAGATAATAATTAAGGTCATAAATTTTGTTAACTATATGAAAACAAACCCAAAAGATAATGAAAAACAAAGAAACAAAAGTAATAAAAATATTTTTTTGTGTTTTTTTATTTAGAAAAATAAACCGGGCATGTTCTAAATAGAATATATTTTGATTCATTCTCAAACTCATAACAAATTAAAATGCAACGATAAATAATCAAAAACAACAAAGAAGCATAGTACTCACGTAAGGGTAACACGGTCATTTCGCATTATAAGCTTTAGTTGCAAGCAACATATGTTTTTGAGCATCCCCAAACAACGTGCTTGTGAAAACTTACCAAAAAAAATGTAAAAAGAATGTCAGCCATACAATAAATTAGACATGTGACTACGCGCATGTGTGTGTGTGTGTGTGAGAGAGAGAGAGAGAGAGAGAGAGAATGCGTCTCCTCTCACAGTTACACTGTCCAAAGCCTCTCTTTCTCTGTACACTCTCAGTCCATCCTACTAGGAGAGTATATATCTTCGAAAATCTCTTAGATGTTGCATTTAGCGAAGCCTCTCTAAATCCCTTTTCCTTCCTTATAAGTTTCTCTCTTTTTAATTTACTCTCTCATTCATCTTCTCTCAAATTAGGTATTCTAGCTTTCATCTATTGATTGAGCAGAGATTCGGCTTTGGTAATGTTTATATATTTTTAATTTTCCGTTTCCATGTTTTTGAATATATAAGTTCTGGGTTTGCATTGATTTCGACTCTATGTTATTGTTTTGTTGATCAAATAAAATATCGGTTCTAGAATGTGATTTTTTTATTTTTATTTTTTTTCCAACAAGGAGTTCTTGCATGTGATTGCTTTTTAATTAGATTAACTTGGGTTAATCATCCTGATTAATTTGGGTTAATAATCGATTCTTGTTGATTGGGATTTGATGGTGTGCTTCAGAAATTTACTTTTGTTCTTTTTTCAAATGGTTTAACTTATGTCGGTTGATTATTTGATTTTGTCAAATGAAGCCTTTTTTGTTGGGTGATCATATCGTGCATAAGAAATAACACAAGAAATAGGAGATGGAATTCAGTGGGTATGTAGAGAATGTGAGCAATATGATGATGAAAGCAGGTGCATGATGGTATATAATGACTATATAATGATGAAAGCTTGGAATCTTGGACTGACAAAGTGTAAGGATGTGGCTTCATGTATGAGAACAGTCACTTTGTGCATAATTATGACAAAGGTTAGGTCTATGTCCTGTCATTGCCTTTCAACACCTTGTGTAAGCTGGACCGACAAATCTTTAGACATGTATCCATAATGTTTTCAGTTGGATTTAATTAATGTTGTTTACAATTTACCTTTTCCACTATAACTAGCTCGTTTATATGTATTATAATGTCATTGCACCGAGTGTAAGCCAAAATGTGGCCTAACAATGCATTTAGTAGAGTGATAGATCAGCAAAAAGATTATCAACTTCTTTTCCATGGTATTTTGGAATCTGTTAGGGTGCGTCCTACCTCCAGTTTTGCTTCTGAAGTGTATTATGAGTCTTTATAATAAACTTTAAAACTTCCTTAAAATTCATTATTTTTATTCATTTATTTATTTTGCCCTGCATTTATGTATTTTTCCTTATGTTTATATGTTTCTGATTTATACAAGGTGTACTGATCATTGCTCTTCTATTTGACCTCACAGTAGATGCAGAGACAGCGATATAGAAGGGTGGAAAAGGGAGGGTAGTTTTTCTGAAAAAAAATTTAAAGAAAAAAAAAAGAAGAGGAGATTCTACTGCCTTGCATAAATGGTGAGAGCTATGTGGTTAAGTAGCTTGACAACCTCTGTAAACAGTAGCATCTGTGGATCTACCCAAATATGGAGGAGTTTCAGGACCCGAACCCAGATAACCTCTGGAGTTGAAAGATTATGCCATTGGCATCAAGGTGTACAGAGACTATCCTCTACAGGTCTGTATGATATTTTAAGACTGCGAAATTTGAGGGTCAAAGCTGGATGGCTTTTTAAAGGAGGTGACCAGGGGTCGGATGCAAGCTCAGAGAGTAGTGAGAGTGCGAATGAGGATATATTGGTTTTCTTTTTCCAACTGGACCTGGCAACTCGAGTACAGGTTTGACATGCATTTTCCAAGTTGTCATTGTATATCTTGTAACTATATAATTGGTTTTGCTTATGTGCCAAAAAAATGGTTTAAATATATCTCAATATATATTGGCAGTGTTCTCTGAATATGGAGCAGTATGAAATTGCACAACAACTGAGAAACAAACTTACTGAGGTTAGATCATTTAATTTTTATCATGGTGAACATCATGGTGTACACTTACACTAATGTTGAGGCTCCAGCTTTTGCAAATTTCCTGACTTAAGGATTTATTAAGGAGCTTTATTTATTGCTCTCTTGTGTTGGTAGTTTTCTTCCTCCTGAATTCACGAGAATTTCTTTGATACAACTTTTACATACATACATAGATATATGTACTTATATACATTATAGTATATTCTTTTTTTTCAGACAAATGCATTTTGGTTATATAAAGCCATTGACAATGGTGTTTGACATGTCACGATTTTGCCATAAGGCTTTGAATTTGTGATTCCACTAACGCGCTAACATGTTTCTGTGTCTGACTAAATTTCCTCTAAATGGTGGACCAAATGGAATTGCAGCATTCTTAATGCGTCTTTTACTTGCAAGGTTGAAGCAGAGATTATCAAACAGACAGAAGCAAAAAGGGGATCAGCCTCGAAGAGCGAAGCTCAAGACAAGGCTATAAGCATCTTACGTCTACGGTGAGTGTCACATCATGTTATCATTAGACCTGCCAGTTCATTTGTATAAGGTGGTGTTCCACTTTCTGGTTTCACTTCGTAATTGTTTTCTCTTCTTTCTTCAATGTTGTGGCATGTTCATTCTCAGGTCTTTACTCAGGGTATGCCCTCTGTGCATCTGTACTTAATACTTCATTTATATACAACACCAATTATGAAAAGGAAAAAAAAATGTTGTGGCATGTTGCTTTAACTTGAACAATTTATTAGATTGTTTCTGCTTCTTTACCTGCAGTGCAGACCTGCAAAATGCAATTCAGAATGAGAACTATGGTTTGGCAGCTAAATTACGGGATGAAATTTCTAAACTCGAGGCAGAGTCTCTGGCTGCATCAGCAAAAGCTCAAGTGTATGAAAATGCTGAATATGCCTTTCGTTTGGGTCAGAAAGTGAGACACAAGATGTTTGGTATGTATTTGTCATGCCTTCACTGCATTGTTCTATTGTTGTTTTGGTCTTAGCACAATATGTGACCTCATTCAATCTCTAAGAGAATTCTTATAATCTTGTCTAGTCTAGAATGGAGGTTTGACAGAAATCTAAATTTGGGTGGCTAGTGGTAAATTTTATGATAATTGATGAGGCAATCTAATTCAATTCCTTATATAATTTTTAATCAACAAAACCTAAAAGGAATCAGGATTCAATCATTAAATTAGCAGCTGTAGTAAATCTGGATTTAATCCTCTGTGTGGTCTACTCAACTATACCGTGATTTGTTCACTTGAGTGATTTACAAGCTCATGAGCCTAAGTCAATTTTGTCTTTAGAAGAAACCCCTTTAGCCCGCATCATTTGTTGCTTTTCACACGATAGACTTAATTGTTGAAGAGGAGACCTTTAAAACTCTTAATGGAATGTCATCTTTTACATGCACAGAACACACAAGTTGAGTTATTTATTTATTTATAAATGAGAAGTGAATTAATATCTTCAAATTCTTAGTGAAAGAGTTCAGGTAATTGAAGAGTGGTTGCATCTATAAACGTATGCATATAGATACTTACAAATAGTGGTCAAGATCTATTAATATATGCATATAGATACATTCTTTTATATTATATATGTCTATATAATATAAAGAATGGCTTAGGTATTTTACCTGCTGTCTCTAAGATTCTGCATTTTGATCAAAGGAGAGAGATGATTTCTTATCATTAATCTTTAGTTTAAGGAATTTTGCAAGGTAAAATTCTCTTATTAATCGTAATTTACTCTTTGAACCAAAATTTTGTTTGGCTATATTTTCTAGGGGGTGGTAGTGGGTTTGGTCTGTTTGGGCCATTCATTGATAAGAATTTCATTTTTTTTTTTTTTGATAAGTAAAAAATTTGGACCATTTCTCGATTTGTGCGTGTCATCCTTGCGCCGGGGCCATGCCAATCTTCTCTGTATCGTTCCAATTTTATCGGATGTCCCCGAAGGGACTTGATAAGAATTTCATGCTTAACCTAGATACGGCCTGCCAATTCCTAGGTTTACCCAGTTAAAATTTCATAATACAATATGCTTGACTTAAAGTAGCTTTCCAAATTCTAAGTTTACCATGTTAAATTTCCATATTCTCACACCTAGTTATCGAACTTGTACATAATGTCTATACTTGTACTTAATGAAATTATGAAAAAACATATAATTTATTTTAAAACTATATATAATATTTTAATGTCTATACTTGTACTTAATAATATTATGAAGTCATTATAACCTTCAAAAGTGATTTGCATAAATATTGAAAATGATAATTAAGTGTTGCCTCTTATGAAAAGAAACCTGGTAAATTGACTAATGGACCAGCGAAGGTAGGTCAACAAGAATCAAATTGTTCAAGAAGGATTTTGAGCAAGCTCTTCACTCTTCATGTGAAGAAGTTGATAGTCAGGTCTATACCCAATCCACCTTTAAACACCCTGCTTTGGTAGGAGCAACAATAGATAATAGCATCTCCACCTCCTCTTTATTTATTTATTTTGTTAAGGGCTGAACACTTTAGGTAGGAGTCTTAGGGTGTTGTCTTCTTTCATTTTTTCTTTCATGGTATTTTGATATTTAATTGTTGTTTCTCTTAGGATCTCGTGTTAAGCTGGCTGCATTTCCATTTAAACAAGGAATTATATAGATTGTTGTCAACCTTCCCAAACAAATTCTTGTAATATGTAAAGTCTCTGGCACCTAGCCACCTGGATGTAATGGACTACATGATTTCTTTTTCCCTATTTATATCTTTAAATTTTCTTATTTGTCAGAGATGATTTTATGATTTTAGGATATCGAGCTGTGGTTTGTGGAATGGATCCAGTGTGCTGTGAATCAAATTCGTGGAAGGAAATAGCGCAGGTTGAAAAGTTGTCTCGTGGTCCTGATCAACCATTTTATCAGGTTTATTTTGCCATATTATATGTGTTGACTTTTTGTGTGACAGCAAGTTCTGGCATTGTCTTCTGTATTGTTTAATGATTTTTTATTTTATGAGTGACTTGTGCTGTATAGAATTATCGGGGCTTTAAGCTCCTTATCTGTTCATCCTCCATGAGCATTCTTATCTTACCACGTCTCAACCTCACATACTATCTAAACTCCTCTAGGAATACAATTTGATATGTATATATTTTCTTTTGAGAGTGAGCTGTGAACTAAATCATATGGTTTTTTTTTTTTTCTTTTTTAATTCTATGATATTTATGCCAGGTTTAGCCTAGAAACCCAACTCAATTCGAGCACAACCCATTATCTTTTTGTTTTGGGTTGAAATTTTTTTAACTCTGCCCCAATTGAGGTTGGGCAGCTTAACTTCTAATATTCATATTTTGTTACTGTTATTAAAATACTTGTAGATTATATCATGACATATTTTTTTTGTAGTAGTTGGATAATTTTAAGGACTGTGATTATGTTTTCATGTTGGAATGTTAGGCATGATTTTTTCCAAGTTGTTTTTCAGAACTAAAAATAAATAAAATAAAAAATGATCCTGAACTTTACCATATCTTGGGAAAAAGGAAAAGAAGCTCAAATTGGGCTTGGCTCGGCTCTTAGCGTTAGACTCGGGCCTGAGTTGAGGGATCTATGCCTCGTGTAGAGTTCATGTTGACCCCTTAACCCTCCCAAACTGCCCTTGAGCCCTAGTTTTAGTAGGCTTTCATGAGGTCTTCTAAGATAGGGACGATTGGGAAGGGAGCATATGATGGATATGTGGGGAGTGGGGGACAATGGTATCTCTTACAAGTATATGAGAGATTCCACTTCCTACCTTGCTCAAAAACCTTGATGTAATAAATTCTATATCAAGGATATTCTTAAGAGACTAAATATCATATGTTAATGTTTCTTCAGGCACGCTCCCCTATTGGGCACGTTTAATGAAATGCTACTTATCAATATCTATATGTATATACATACACACATATCATGTGTTAACCTAGTCCTCGTAAAAGTAATTGTAACATAATCTGAGGGGGCATATAGAGGTATAGTAATAATTTAAAACATTTTATAATGTCTTACATGGTAATCAAAATGAGTTCATTTCCATATATATTTGAAATAAGTCCTAGCAGACCCCAAATAGTTGGGAAGATGTTTTGTCAAGTGATTAAATTAAGTTCTTGCTAAGCTGTTAAGTATGAATCGGTTATTAGATTTCATGGACTGATCATGCTTTGAAGGCGATGATCTTCATTTTTATTACAATGCTTTTCCTTTTTCCTTTTCCTTTTTGGTACCATGCCTATTTTTGAGGTAGTTTGTGCATGAAAATACTATGGAGACATTGGAATAGATTTCGTTATAAATACTTGTACCCTGTGTCCATCCTGGTTCAACTGCACCCAAAAGTACGAATACTAAAAAATGAACTCTGATCTTTGTCTAATTTCCTTGAAATTAATGGTCAAGGAAATAGCTCTCCGCAGCAATGCAACTTGGCTTATGCTTCTAGCATTTCTGTGTTGACTGTCTTGCTTCTTTGTTTTATTATTGCATATGCACAGTTGAAGTAGTCATGTGAACATGTAATGGTCCCTTTGTTATATGATGATTTATGTGCACAATTCGTATAAATGACGTTATCCCATAACTTATCGTATTTGGCGGTAACAACACCATTACTGTGGAGGTAATTCGATGTCCAATCTCACTAAAGGTTATTTGAATATTATGTCTAGTAAATTTAAGCAACAACGATGCGCTCTTCATTTTTTATGATTAAACAGTAAATTTACGTCTAACCATGTTTAATGGGAACCAAATCCAAGTCTTTATAGTTCCATGAGAATGTTAGGTGCATTGAGTTAGATGACAAAATAATAACCCACACAGCTACACAGTAATGCTGGAATAAGAAATGAGCATTTCAGGATTAGGCATTGGGGAAGGAAATCTGCAACGAAGGTCTAGTTTTACTTATTTTGATATCACTGTATTTTATTTTCTGAAAGATTTCTTGGGCATCAAAAAGGCTTTGCTCCTTTCTTGGTTCATCTCACATCTATTTGTTGGCATGTACATCACAGTACATTTTTATTGTTTGAATGCCTTTTATTTCTCATTTTATTTATTTGATGCTTGCCCATGAAAGAATAAATAAAAAATTGTATTTCATTTTTTTTTTTTTTAATTTTATATCAGGTATTGGTTGATGTACATGCAGACCCCAATTTACTAGTGGCATATGGTAATTATCAGCCATTTATTTTTCTTCCCAGTCTAAAATTTCAATTATATTTCCCTGTTTGGTTAAATCTAGATTTACTACATTGTCAACGCTTTTGTCTTTTTTTATTTTATTTTATTATGCAGACTTTTCACCAACCCAAAGGGGAAAGCCTAATGGCAAGTCTTTCACCTCACGTCTTGGAGGTTGGGAGTTTGAATCCCCTCGGGGCCACCCTCAAGAAATTTTCTGGTAATTCCCTAGCACATGTGGGACAGGAGGACTACATGTGCGCAGTGGTGGATTATGGAGGCCATTATTATCGACCAAAAGAAAATTTATAGGCTTTTCAATTTTCACCTGGAACTAGGATCCTGTGCTATACAGCACTTTTGTTGTACAGCTGTGGACAACATAGATCAGAGCACACTCTTTCACCTGTTTAGGGTTTTTTTTTTCACCTGACCTGGAGAGGCATATTAGAGGCATATTATGTTTATGGACTTGCATTATTTCACTCCTTGGATGGTCGGCTTCATAACTTTTGGCTTCTTTTCTACCTTATTCCCCAATTGATTCATCAAATGCTTTCGTACATTGCAGTTCCAGAGGAGAATTTACTAGCCCCTGACAAAGCAGACAAGGTGAGTGTAGTTCTCTTCTAAAGAACAAATGTGCCAGCTATCTTTGCATCTTACTCTGTGCGGGCTGTGCTTGACCCTGTGCAGGGCAGGTTTGATCATCCCTATGTTTCCTTTTTATTCTACGGGATGGATGCCGCTGGAGATTTCATCCCCATCAAACAGCTGCGTGAGAAGTACAATAGGCCGCGGCATGAGGTGCCCTATGATGGACAGGATGAGAATGATAAAGAAGATGCTTGAGTGGCTCCACTCCTGATTTGCTCTCATCTCAGATTCTAATGATACCGGAAATCGTTGTGCCATCAGCTGTCTGCTGCGGTGTTTTAAGTAGTTGCCTCTGTTGAAAACATTATATGATAACACGAGTTCTGCTTTGGCTAGTCAAGTTGATCCTACATCAAGGCTGCACAATCTTGACATCTTGTAGTTCACTTGTAGATGACCTGAATACCAGTCATGTATATACCATATTTTCAGATACTATATATTTTCAGGATTAGGGAGGCTTTCCTGTACTCCATATGTAGAACTTTGATGCTAAATCACAATAGTAAAAAAATTTCCTCACAACTTATTTTTATTTGTATTCAGCGGACAACTTACTTGCACCAAGATTTTACACAAACTCCCATTGTTCATTGCAGTGCTGGTATACTTTGAATATGAAGAGGTGGGTTTTGGGATTCCATTCTTATTGTTGTGCCATTTTGATGGGACTGTTATCTAGGTCCTGTGCATCATAATACTCCGCATACGATTGAGGGCAGCGCACAAAGAGCCACGTGCTCACCTTATTTAAATATTGGACAATTTATTAGTGACTTTTTTATATTTCAAAAACTGTCTTGCAGTTATTAGCCACGTATTAAGTTTATTTTCACCTCATTTGAGATTTGTTAATATTTCACAAGAAAATATAAATACTCCAGGATTTGGTACCGGGGTCATTTCAATCCTCGGATGTGGTGGAGTCTAGCACCATATTCATAATCCAACAGCTACCACCGTTCCAGGTACCATACACCACAATATTTAATACTTTTTTCACATATATTTTTTTTACGTTTCATAATTTCATTAACCTCCTCGATAGGAGAATCTGTTGCATAAATCAGAACCTCAAAGGAGGTAAGTGAAATTATAAAACTCGGAGAATCTGTTGCATAAATCAGAACCTCAAAGGAGGTAAGTGGAATTATAAAACTAAGAGAGGACCTATATGAGATATTTACATAAATTCTCCCTGTATCTACAAAAGTAGAATCTGTTACATAAATCAGAAACTCAAAGGAGGTAAGTAGAACTATGAATCATAGAGGGATTTATGTGGGATATTGACAAAACTCGCGGATGATAAGTCAAATTTACCCTTCTTTTATTTGGTGAGTGATAAGGTAATTAATTGTAAGAGTACAATGAATGATAACTATAATGACAAAAATGAGTAAATTTTACTTACCTCCCCTAAGGTTTGTCAATATCTCATATAGGTCTTCTCTTAGCTTCATAATTCTACCTACTTTCCTTGAGGTTGTAATTTATGTAACAAATTCTCCCTGCCATTAGGGCATTTGACGGAGATAAACAAACTACCGATGTCAAAAAAAAAAAAGGATACAATATCAATTTTGCCATTCTAATGCCTAAAATGACAGTAAATATTTAATGAGTAGAACAATAAAATAACACACCACTATTTTCAAATTGGATAGCCGATGCGATACGTGACATTTTGAAACCAAAGATGGTTTTTGTAAAACATTGACAAATATTTCTTGAGTAGAACAATAAAGTAACACACCACTATTTTTAAATTGGATAGCCGATGCGATACGTGAGATTTTGAAACCAAGAGGTGGTTTTTGTAAAATATTGACAAACCTGGGGAGGAAAGTAAAATTTATCCAACTATAATTTATTATTACTCACTCCTTTGAGTTTGGCTCCACTTTTAGAAGAATAAGAAAATCATGTGCAAGAGCCCAAGAGGTTGTGCGTTCCTCTCTCTCGTTTTTTTTTCTGAAAAAAAAAAAAAAAAGAAAAAAAAAAAAGAAAAGGAAAAAGGTTCCTCCTCTCTCTTCAAATACCAAATACAGACCTATATTTTTCTCCATTTTTCATACCAAGACAAACACATGGATATACATATAAACATGACTCATGCAACTCTCTGTCTATTTTTTCCTAGTAGAATGGTCGGTTTATCCCCTAACAAGATTCAAGACAAAAAAGTGCATTTACCCAAACGGAAACACTAAGGATGACACTGTACATGCCCTTGTTCAGATCATGCACAACCTCAAGAACGCTCTCTCAACTCCATGCCCACCTCTTTGTTACTGGACTCCACAGAGACCCATCTGCTTCAACCAAACTCATTGAATCATATGCCAAAATGGGTCCCTTTGAATCTGCCAATCTTGTCTTCCAGACCTTCCCAAAACCAGATTCCTTCATGTGGGGTGTACTCATTAAGTGCTATGTGTGGAATGGCTTCTTCAAGGAAGCCATTTCATTGTACCATAAAATGCTGTATGAAGAAACCCAAATCAGTAGTTTTATATTCCCATCGGTATTAAGAGCTTGTTCTGGTTTTGGTGATCTGGGTATGAGCCAAAAGGTCCATGGAAGGATAATTAAATGCGGGGCTGAGTCTGATGCTTTTATTGAGGCCTCATTGCTTAGTATGTATGGTGAAACAGCTTGCTTGGATGATGCTTGTAAGGTGTTTGATGGAATGTCTGTAAGAGATGTTGTTTCGTGGAGTTCTGTCATTTCGAGTTATGTGCAGAATGGGCAGGCAAGTAAAGGGCTTGAGCTTTTTCGTGAAATGGTTGCGAAGGGTCTTGAACCCGATTCAGTGACAATGCTTGGTGTGGCTGAGGCCTGTGGCGAGTTGAGTTTATGGAGAGAAGCGAAGTCGGTTCATGGTTATGTAGTGAGAAGGGAGATCAAGAGTACTGGGTCATTGGATAATTCTCTCATGTCTATGTATAGTAGATGTGGTGACTTGTACAATGCAGAGGTCCTCTTTGGCAATCTTACTGACCTGAATACTTCTTCATGGACGGCAATTATTACATGTTACAGTCAAAACGGGTGGTACCAAGAAGCGCTAGACATCTTTGTTGAGATGCAAGAGTATAATGTTGAACCCAATGCCATAACCATGATAGCTGTTCTATGTTCATGTGCTAGGTTAGGCTGGCTCAAGGGAGGGAAGTCAGCTCATTGTTTTGTTGTTCGAAAAGCTATAGACCTTGGTTATGATATTTTGGGGCATGCATTAATAGATGTGTATGCTAATTGTGGAAAAATAGGAGATTGCCAGAAGGTTTTTGATATGACCCGAGCGAGAAATATTGTATCATGGAATATGCTCATAACTGGTTATACTAGGGAAAGGCTGTCAAAGGAGGCTTTGATGCTCTTTGTTCAAATGCGTGTGCAAGGAATATTACCAGACTCATATACTCTGGCAATTGTTCTCTCAGCCTGTGGAGATATCAGTTTCTATGAGCTTGGACGTCAGTTCCATGGGCATAGTATTAAAACGGGGTTCTTGAATGAGTTTGTTCTGAATTCCCTAGTTGACATGTACTCCAAATGTGGCTTTGTGGATTCAGCATACATATTATTTGATGATAGCCAACAGAAAAGTGTTATAACATGGAATTCTATGATATGTGGATTTTCTGAAAATGGTAATTTGGTAGAAGCAATCAGTCTCTTCGATCAAATGTATTCAAGTTGTCTTGAAATGGATGAAGTAACCTTCCTGAGTGTAATTCAAGCTTGCTCGAATTTAAGATATCTAGAAAAAGGAAAATGGATTCACCATAAGCTCATCACCTGTGGTATAGTGAAGGATATGTATATCGATACAGCTCTAACTGACATGTATAGCAAGTGTGGAGACCTTCAGATGGCCCGGGCAGTTTTTGATAGCATGTTAGAGAGGAGCGTGGTGTCATGGAGTGCCATGATAGCAGGTTATGGGATGCATGGTCAAATTAATGCTGCCATCTCTCTCTTTAATCAAATGGTAGGAGAAGGAATAAAACCAAACGATGTTACCTTCATGAATATTCTATCTGCCTGCAGTCATGCAGGATATGTAGACCAAGGGAAGGCATATTTTAATTCAGTGATGAAGGATTTTGGTATTGTGCCCAAGTCAGAACATTTTGCTTGTATGGTTGATCTTTTGAGCCGAGCTGGTGATCTTGATGGGGCATATGAAATTCTCAAATCAATGCCATTCCCTGCAGATGCTAGTATTTGGGGTTCTCTGCTAAATGGTTGTCGCATCCATCAGAGGATGGACATGATTAGAAAGATTCAGAGAAATTTTGTTGATACAGTAATGGATGATACCGGATATTATACTCTATTATCTAATATATTTGCGGAAGGAGGAGACTGGGATGAATTTAGGACGGTGAGATCAATGATGGAAAATATAGGTCTGAGAAAGGTCCATGGGCACAGTACAATTGAGGTTGATGAGAGTTTACAGATTCGTAGCAAATGATAAAATATCATTTGTAAAACAAAAGAAATTTACAGGTTATTTCACAATGTTTGTAATTGGGGTCATGAATAAGGTCGTCATGTCGATTTGGTGTTCCTGTTATTAATAATAGCATTATTCACAGATGATCAACATGTCAGGTCTGTGGTGCTGCCATGGAGGATATTATTCGTGTCTTTTAGATGCTATCGTTGCATGACCAACATTTGAAGAGCAACAGTTTCTAAAAATCTACAGAGCAGAGCATTTTCTTTGAAACTAACATTTGAGGTTGGACAGATAATAACGGAGGAATTTTGATGAATGTGACAGTAGGATAAACTGATGGCCCTCTGTCTTTCAGGTAGCCTATTGGAAAATTTGTAAATGGCGTAACTCAGTGCAAGAGATCCTACACCAAGTCCATAACATGATCTGCACCCTCAACTGACTGAAGCACATGAACCAAAAACTACGAAATTTTTTGCTTGGAATATCCCCCTTCATCAAAGAGTGAAGGCTAACGAACGGTTGGGCTCTCCAGAGGGAAATCAGGCCCTGCTGCGGTTGTTGGCTTAATTTGGTTCAGGGAGGAGGGGTGGGGGGTGAGGTTGAAGCTGGTCAATGGAGTAGGATTCTCGATCAACAGGGTTGTCAGTGATAATGATCTGGCAGTACTCTGGACTGCATAGGAAAGTCGCCCCTTCTCTGAAGTAGGTGTTTCAATGAGGTGATCCCAGAATCCGATCCAGAAGTGGTGATTCAGATGAATTTCATCGAAGTTCACCAGAATTTTGTTCCAGACGATAGGACCTGCATAGTTTGGCTGGCAAGCCTTAGTAATTCTTGTAGAGATTATTGGTTTTTGTAGTCTGTTTCACCTTCTTGTGTTTACATGCCCATATGGGTTGCAGGAGATTGGGATGTATTGAACTTTCAAAAGCTGCAAACAATAAGATTTATGCCATTTGATTACAATAAATCACAACATCAATTCTGATTCTTTTGGATCTACAGATATTACCTGGTAGCCTTATCAATCATCTCTTTTGGTGATTTTCTAATTATACTGATCTTCTTTCCCATTTGAAGCAGGGGGGGACGAATTGCAGCTGCTTAATTAAGCATTGACAATATGTTTTCTGGATTACTGAACAAACCCTAAAGATATATATATATATATATATATATATATATATGGAAGATTGGAGTCTACAAAAATATATTCTATAACATATCATTGCATCATCCAGGCTAAAAAAAATCTCTCTACCTTACATTTATTTATCAAGAAAAATCTCAAGATTAACAAGAACTATAAAGCAGCTCTCTACTACAATAAAGTTTACAATGTGGATGCACAAAAATTAAGCTGCTGCTACTTGATTTCATTTTCTCATTCAAAAAGTATACACACACACATGGATTGTCTGTCTGAACACCTTCACATTAAATAATTTCCTCTAGCTCTGCAAGGGTATATGATAAATAGACGGTTCCGTAAAATGATGACAACCAAATTTCTTCATCATTGTCACGCTTGAAGATGTGCATGAGAACTTCAAAGTCCTATCAAAGAAGATAACATCTTGAGATTGGAGCAAAGTAACTCAACAGAGAATTTTAACTCCAAGCTACTGTCTGCATCCATCTTCATTCCCTAATTCATCTTCAAAGCTATGTAACCGGTTTCTTAGTTGTAACCCTTCAATTTTCCTGCACTTGAGACATATCAAAGCACCCCAGACCAAATTCTGCATGTCACTGCATAAGCTGTTTCAAGAGGAAAGCTCCATTTTCCAATTAAATTCGTTGTAATAATTCGTGTGAGGATAAGCTTCAGAAATTGGGCCCATACAGGTGTTTCAAATTTGTACAAAAGGCATACAAGATGAAGCATATCACTAAGCAAGACAGGCCACTTGTAGAGGAGAAAAGTGAGTACCGACATCCATTTCCACTTGGCTAGACCCTGCGGACTTGCTCAATCCTCTTTCCTTCATCAACTCCCTCACCTGATTAACCTGGCTCCATCTTCTATCTGAAGCATATAAGTTCGACACAAGCACATAGTAACAAGCTTTATCAGGATGCAACTCTAGCATCTTCTTTGCAGCCACTTCCCCAAGGTCAAATCTCGAATAGAGGCTGCATCCGTTCAAGAAGGCTCCAAACACGCTAACATTTGGCTGAATCGGCATCATCTCAATAAAAGCCCAGGCTTCCTCAAGTCTGCCAGCACGAGCCAATAAATCAACCATACACGCATAATGCTTCATGGAAGGGACGAAATTAAATTGCTGACACATTAAATTGAAATGCCTCCATCCTTCTCCCACCATCCCTGTATGACTACAAGCGGATAAAATGGTTGTGAAGATTACATCATTGGGCTTCAATTTCTCCTCCAACATATCATTGAAAAGGGAAAGGGAACCATTACTGTCCCCTTGCATTCCATAACCACCAATCATTGCACTCCAAGTGACCGTGTTCTTCTCTCCCATCCCATCAAAAACAGTACGCGCAGATTTAGCATCGCCACATTTGGCATATAAGTTTAATAGAGCAGTGCCAACATAGATATTAGATGATAACAGGCCTTCTTTCATACAGTAAGCATGAAGAGAAGAACCAACTCGAAGAGCACAAAGGGAAGCACAAGCTGAGAGGACAGCTACAATTGTTACAGCATCTGGCACCAAATACTCGGATCTCATTTGATGAAACAAATTCAAAGCTTCATAAGCAGAACCATTTTGGGAATATCCAGAGATAATTGAGTTCCAAGCAATCACATCCTTGTCTGATAATGCATCAAACAAATAATAAGCATTTCCAATCCTATGGCACTTTGCATACATGTCTATGAGAGCATTTGTCACGGTAGTATCTTCTAAGCATAGCTTGATCCCAAGCCCATGAATTGACATACCCAATTTCAAATTGCCTGACTGTGCACAGGCTGATAATACACTTGCAAAGGTAACACAATTGGGCATAATACCTAGCCATTTCTTGTCCACAAACAACTTCAATGCCTCATCAGAATAGCCACTCTGAGTGTACCCAACAATCATTGCCGTCCATGGGACAAGATCAATAGCATGAAGCTCATCAACTATGGAACGAGCATCTCTAATGGACCCGCACTTGAGATACATGTCTACAAGATTTGTAACCAGGAATGAATTACAATCAATTCCGTTCTTGATCACATAACCATGAACCCATTTTCCCTGATGTAATGCTCTTAACTTCGTACAAGCTGTGATTATACTCCCGAAAGTATATTGGTTACCTTCAACTAAACCATTTCTCATCCGATTAAACAAAATCAACCCCTCCTCTGCACAATCATTCTGCACATATCCACCAATCATCGAAGTCCAAGAAACTACATTTTTATCAATAATTTCATCAAACGCGTCACGAGAACACTCCACCATTCTACACTTCGCGTACATATCTACAAGGCCTGCCAACACAAAACCATCCGGGTTCCCCACCTTAACAATTATGCAATGCACCTTCCTCCCTTCATCAATATCACGCAATTCAATACACGACTTCAACACATGCGAAAAAACAATGTTGTCAAGCTCATTCAGGCATTTTCTCATACAGGTATAGAGCCGAATGATTTCTGCGTAAGAATCATTCATGAAATACCATCTAATCATCACTCTATACGCATAAAAATCTGGGCTTTGTATTTGATCGAATATCAAACGGGCACTAATGATGTGCCCGAACTGACCGTACGAGCTAACCAATTTAGTTTGGAAGAGATGGTCACTGGTTAGGCCATGGACGATGAGCAAAGCATGGATTCGCTTGATAACAGAGACGTTTTTGCAGGCACCCAGGTAAGAAAAAAATGGGTTTCGAGAGGTGGAGTGAATTGAATCTATGGTTCGATCGATTTTGGGAATTTGTAGCGACTGTTGATGGGTTGGTATCGAAACCAGAGTGCTAATCTGAAATTGGGGTTTGGTGATGACGATGCGAGGGACGTGTCTGTGCAATTGAGAAATTACTTTCATCATCTTTTGATCATATCTACATGGGTTTGCTGTTTTTGTTGGTTATTATAAGCTCAATCACTCCCGCCATTTTAATCAAGTGAGTGAAGCTCGTACAAAAATTTACTGGGTGATTTGCAATTTTTTATAATACTTTTTTATCCCAATTATCCTAGATCAAATTTAGTATACAGTGTAACCTTTATAAATTAATAGGGTTGGGGACTATATAAATTTTACTAATTAAACAAGATATTAATTTATTCATAAATTAATAATTATAAATTTAATATGTTATTTTTTGTAGATTATTTATTTATTTCAAAGAATTAAACAATTTTTTTTTTAGAACTTTTGAGCGAAAAATTAGAAATGAGATCCAACTGGACTTAAATTTCAAGAAAAGACAAGCAACTTTTTATCTTATCAAATTAATAATTTATGTAATAAGTGGGACTTATAGAAATCTATAAGGAAATTTATGAAATGTATTATCATATAAATTTATGGAAATTATTAATTTAGTACTTTGACACGTAATTTATTATTTAAAATAAATTATTAATTTATCAAGTATTAATTTATAAAGATTATACTGTATTATATATCCTAAGACATCCATGATATGTAATAAATAAATAAGTTTAAAATTTAAAATATTTAACATAGCAGCCTATAAGTCACTCAAATCCATTCCTCCCAAATTAAAACGCCACCCAACCCACTCATGTACGCCCAAAGCCTGACTATGGTATAAGGCAATAAGCCACAATTCTCACCTTTTCAATGGTAGTAGGTCCTTCCTTTTCAAATGGAGCTTGAGGTTCAAGCCTCCCTAGAGACCCGCTCATGTAAGTCCAAAACCTGACTCTCATATGGTATAAGCAACAACCCTCATTTTCAACGGTAGTAGGTCTTTACTTTTCAAATGGAGATTGAGATTCAAGCATCCTTAGAGTCATGGTAACGTGTGTGAATTATTTTAACTTTTAAATAAAAAATAAAAAAAAATAAAAAAACCTCGTAAAGTTTGTTTTTTTATAAAAAATAAATAAATTAAAACAACTGACATATTTATGGAATGAGAATTTGAATCTGGGCCTTTGGCCACAAGCACCACGTACCCTACCACTAAACTATCACACCACATCCAAAACCCCAGAAAGTTCTTATATAAATTTCTATATTCAATGAACTTCTGTAAGTTTCTAACTTTCTATATTCAATTTTTTTTAATGTTCTAATTTTTTTCTTTAAATCTTCGGGGTAGAATTGCAACTTAAGTGATCTTTGAGTTACAATTCTTCTCTAAGTTTCTATATTCAATTTTTTTACACCTCATGAAGCGTATAAAAAGAGGTAGAGGCCTCTTTGGCTTTTTAGTTTTTACTAGTTTGTGTCTATATGCTGTTTTTGTATCTGATTTAAGAAAGTTATCATTTTTCTTTAATTTTTTTTTTATTAATGTTCCTAAAAATGTCTACATGGCTTGTGCGGTGGTTGGTGGGATTGGTGAACTTTTTTTTCTCATATTTAACTAATGTTTACATCTTTTCAAATCAGTAGATTGCCCGTAATATATTGAAGTTTGTTTGCCCGTTCTTGAGGTGTTCGGCTGTTTTCAGTACAACTTTAATTAAAGAATCAAAGAGCAAAATACAATTGCCCTAAAGTTCGCCTATTTTGAGACGTATATTTAGATTCTCTTCCTCCTTGTTTTATAATCTTAAAAAATAAAAAATAAATTTAAAATGTATTTGGAGTTTCTCAGATTTCTGTTTAAGGGAGGGAATAAAACTGGGATGCAAATCTGCTCCAGTGGAGCAAATCCAGTGCAGATCTAAGGGCTGAGGTGGTCTGAAACCACCTCATCCCATTTGCCACACCATCGTCCAATCAGTACCCAATCAGCATCCGGTCAGTATCTTACACAATAAAGTTACTAATGTACTATTTCATTTATCACATGTACGAATATTTCATACACTTATACTAATACACCATACACTTATACATTATACGTATAAGAATACATGATTTACAATTACATTTAACTTTTTTTTTTTTTGCAAAAGTGCAAAAAATCCCTCTGAGTTATTACAAATTGGCATTTTAACCCCTGGACTACAAAAATAAACAAGTCAGTATCACAACTATCAAAAATCGTGCAAATTAACCCCTGACATTCAATTCCAGCCACTTTCCGGCCCACAAGGTCAGCACGTGACTGTCCTTTTCTTTTAATTCCGAAATTGCCTTTGAATATTACCGTTGTAGCCCTTTGCTGATAAATGAACCCATTTGTTCATTTGCCTTCTTCCATCCTCTAATCTACTCCACTCTACCTTTGCACCAAACACTCAGACAAATTTGAAGAACAAAGTTTAAGGTAAGATATACATATATATGTATATATATATATTGTAACTTAAATTTTGTTGTACAATTTAATTTCTGTAATATAATTTCAGTTATTTGATTATTTATTATAATATACTTTGGAAGGTTACACACCTCCTCTATAGTATATATAATTTATTTGTTTGAATTTGTTTGTTTTAATTTAATGTGTGCTTCCCTCTTAGTATCAGAGCCATTTATTTGTGGTTGATTTAGTTAAGTCTATTCGTTATACTTCATTCTTGCTAATCTTGTTCTGTTGATTTGGTTTAAACATTCTGTTATTTGATTCTTATCATATTGTTATTAATTTCCTTCTTGTGAGTCCAGATCTAAACAATAAGTCCTAGATCCAAACAGTAAGTCCCAGGGGAGGGCCTGAGCGGCGTGGCATGAGCGGATGAGCACGTGGATATGATATAAATATCAATTTGAGAAGATCATGACCATAGTTTGTTTTCACCAGCCAACTAAATAGGAATAGTAAGCGTTAAGTAACAATGAATAGGTTATTTAGATCTTCCTCTTCAATGAGCTCTAGTTCTAGATCTAGTTTACCCCCTCCAATACCAAACATAGTTAACGAAGAAGAATATTGCATTGAGGACAGTAACTTAGATTTTTGTGATTGGAATATCCTCAGAATTCCAAATCGAGAAATTTACAAAACTAGTTTCCTTAAGTCAACCTTTTTTAGTGATTACACAATTAAAACAGTTAAACAAATTTACTCTTTGTCAAAAGAACATGAAAAATGCCAATTACTCACAGCCAAAGCAATGCAAAGACATAGAGCTAAAGGATACAATTTCATCCATCTAGGTCTCACACAAGTTGCAGTGAAACCATTCACCAACAGAGGACTTAATGCCACTGTCTTGCTAGCCCTTCGTGATGTTAGGTTCCTAGATTATGACCTTAGCCTCTTAGGAGTCGTTGAAACGAGCCTCTGTAATGGCCCAGTTCATTTCAACTGTTATCCAGATTTGACTCTTAGTTAAGTGACCCTCACTTATTAAAGGCTTTAACTCTTAATGTCCAAACATCAGGTTACCCTATGCTTCTTGGGTCCCAACCTTTAGGTCTAATTTACAGAATTTATTACAAAGCAATCAAAACTAATCTTAATGCCAAAGCAGTCAAACAAGACATCAAAGGTTATACCCTGTTGATTAAAAGCAGTACTACTGATCCTAACATCCAAATCAAGAAAACAATTGCCTGGAAAGACATTTCGTTACCCAACGAATGGATTCTCTATAATGAAATCATCCGGTAAAAATAAAAAATGATATAAGTTATCTTGAAAGAGTCCAGGAATTTATGGACGGCACCGTTAGGATAAGTTTTGATGAACAACGTCTTCTGACTCGCTCTCGTCCTTCTGCTTCATTTGATAGATCAGATAATGGTCTGTTAGATAAAGATAGTGAAGTTCCTCCTCTAGAAAGAAAAAATTCACGATTTGATCCAAGGATGAAAGATCTTAAGTTAAAAGGTCTAAAAATAGAAGAACAAGTTAACCGACTATGTTATGTTCAAAACCCAAAATCTAAATCCACACCAAGTTCTCCTACTCCTTCTGATTTCATTGGCAACCTTAACACCATTAACCCACAATTAAATACCATTAGTAAACCTTTTAAGTATAACTTCTCCAGGTTACATGATGAAACCTCATCTGTTCCCAATAAAGCAAAAAGAAAAGATTTTAGGAAAACTCATACTAAAAAGGAACAAAATAAGATTCACCACTATTGGCAGCAGTTCATGATCGAACACAAGGTCAAAATTAATTTCTTTGACTATCTTGAGAACTATCATAACAAAGTTAATGTTCTAACAAAAGTTAATTGGAAAAAACCAGACACAACAATTATCTCCTTTTCCTATCCCCCATTAGAATTTGTGCTTCTTGATCACATGGGGACTGAGGTTACTGATTCCCTCTTAAAAGTAAGCACCACTACTAATCCAGATGCCAGAAAAATAATTGAACAAAACAATTTCACAAATCAATACCTGCATACTATTGGAATACAACTTGACAAAATAGAACTTTCCTTGTCACCACCTATTGCCCCAACAGCAAAACTTTCCTCTCTTCATATGGAAAAACCCCTTATTTCAATGCCAACTCAACGAAAAGGGCTTCCTCCAGCATTGCCCGACCCCTCTACTATTCTACAAATTGAAGCAATTCTCAAAGGCTAAAATTAAAGATGAAAAAACAGTTACTGCCATCAACACTAATGATGATTCTGGCACTTTCTCCTCCTATTCTAGTTATCCCTCCGAAATCCACCAAATTGAACATGCCTTCTCCAACCTAGAACTTACTTGTATTACCAATAAACGAGTCAACCCTACCAGCCTTACCAAAAATTGGTACCCTAGACCCACTTATTCAATATGAAGAACGCAACATCCACAATCAATTCTCTGTCTCCTCTGATAAACTCTATGAATGGAATATAGATGGTTTATCTGAGCAGGAAATTCTGAACAAGTTAAATCATATATCAATGGTAGCTAACAATTATGTCACTTCCCATGATCTTTGTCAACTAGATATTGTTGATTTACTTACATCTGGATTTTCCGGGATGCTAAAGTCTTGGTGGGAAAACGATCTTACTGAAGACTCACGCACCAACATCAAAAATGTTGTCCAAAACGATAATAATGGACTTCCTATTTT